AACAGTGGAAGTAATTTCAGCTAAGATACTGTAAAAGTTTAGTTTCAAAAAAAATTTTTTCTCAGGAGAATATTTTTTTTTGTTTAAAAACCTGTATCTCATCTCCTAGACATATGAACTTGCTGAAATTTTCCTCAAAACTTCTTTTTAGGGTGAAGAAACAGTGGAAGTACTTTCAGCCAAGATACTTTAAAAGTTTAGTTGTAAAAAAATATTTTCTCGGGAGAATATTTTTTTGTTTAAAAAGCTGTATCTCATCTCCTAGACATACGAAATTGCTGAAATTTTCTTCAAAACTTCTTTTTAAGGTGAAAAAACAGTGGAAGTAATTTCAGCCAAGATACTCTAATAGTTTAGTTGTAAAAAAATATTTTCTCGGGAGAATATTTTTTTTGTTTAAAAAGCTGTATCTCATCTCCTAGACATACGATATTGCTGAAATTTTCTTCAAAACTTCTTTTTAGGGTGAAGAAACAGTGGAAGTAATTTCAGCCAAGATACTCTAAAAGTTTAGTTGTAAAAAAATATTTTCTCGGGAGAATATTTTTTTGTTTAAAAAGCTGTATCTCATCTCCTAGTCATAAGAAATTGCTGAAATTTTCTTCAAAACTTCTTTTTAGGGTGAAGAAACAGTGGAAGTAATTTCAGCCAAGATACTCTAATAGTTTAGTAGTAAAAAAATATTTTCTTAGGAGAATATTTTTTTTTGTTTAAAAAGCTGTATCTCGTCTCCTAGACATACGAACATGCTGAAATTTTCCTGAAAACTTCTTTTTAAGGTGAAGAAATACCGGAAGTAATTTCAACCAAGATACTCTCATAGTTTAGTTGTAAAAAAATATTTTCTCAGATTTTTTTTTGTTTAAAAAGCTGTATCTCATCTCCTAGACATACGATATTGCTGAAATTTTCCTCACTACTTCTTTTTAGGGTGAAGATATAGTGGAAGTAATTTCAGCCAAGATACTCTAATAGTTTAGTTGTAAAAAAATATTTTCTCGGGAGAATATTTTTTTTGTTTAAAAAGCTGTATCTCATCTCCTAGACATACGAACTTGCTGAGATTTTCCTCAAAACTTCTTTTTAGGGTGAAGAAATAGTGGAAGTAAATTCAGCCAAGATACTCTAATAGTTTAGTTGTAAAAAAATATTTTCTCAGGAGATTTTTTTTTTGTTTAAAACGCTGTATCTCATCTCCTAGACATACGAAATTGCTGAAATTTTCTTCAAAACTTCTTTTTAGGGTGAAGAAACAGTGGAAGTAATTTCAGCCAAGATACTCTAATAGTTTAGTTGTAAAAAAAAATTTTCTCGGGAGAATATTTTTTTTTTGTTTAAAAAGCTGTATCTCATCTCCTAGACATAAGAAATTGCTGAAATTTTCTTCAAAACTTCTTTTTAGGGTGAAGAAACAGTGGAAGTAATTTCAGCCAAGATACTCTAATAGTTTAGTAGTAAAAAAATATTTTCTTAGGAGAATATTTTTTTTTTGTTTAAAAAGCTGTATCTCGTCTCCTAGACATACGAACATGCTGAAATTTTCCTGAAAACTTCTTTTTAAGGTGAAGAAATACCGGAAGTAATTTCAACCAAGATACTCTCATAGTTTAGTTGTAAAAAAATATTTTCTCAGATTTTTTTTTTGTTTAAAAAGCTGTATCTCATCTCCTAGACATACGATATTGCTGAAATTTTCCTCACTACTTCTTTTTAGGGTGAAGATATAGTGGAAGTTATTTCAGCCAAGATACTCTAATAGTTTAGTTGTAAAAAAATATTTTCTCGGGAGAATATTTTTTTTGTTTAAAAAGCTGTATCTCATCTCCTAGACATACGAACTTGCTGAGATTTTCCTCAAAACTTCTTTTTAGGGTGAAGAAATAGTGGAAGTAAATTCAGCCAAGATACTCTAATAGTTTAGTTGTAAAAAAATATTTTCTCAGGAGATTTTTTTTTGTTTAAAAAGCTGTATCTCATCTCCTAGACATACGAAATTGCTGAAATTTTCTTCAAAACTTCTTTTTAGGGTGAAGAAACAGTGGAAGTAATTTCAGCCAAGATACTCTAATAGTTTAGTTGTAAAAAAAAATTTTCTCGGGAGAATATTTTTTTTTGTTTAAAAAGCTGTATCTCATCTCCTAGACATACGATATTGCTGAAATTTTCCTCAAAACTTCTTTTTAGGGTGAAGAAATAGTGGAAGTAATTTCAGCCAAGATACTCTAATAGTTTAGTTGTAAAAAAATATTTTCTCTCAGGAGAAAGATTATTTATTTTTAAAAAAAGCTGTATCTCATCTCCTACACATACGAAATTGCTGAAATTTTCCCCAGAACTTCTTTTTAGGGTGAAGAAATAGTGGGTGTAATGTCAGCCAAGATACTCTAATAGTTTAGTTGAAAAAAAAATTTTTGTCTCAAGAGAATGTCGGCTGCTAGTTTCAGTTTCAACAATTTATTAAAATTATATTTTTAGCAGAGGAGATAAAGGTACCAAAACTTGTCACGTTAATTTTTAATATTATTTGTAATTTCGCAACGAAAAATTCTAATTTTTAAAAAATATAGGGCCCGGACCCTATCTTCTATGTTTCGTCCATGTCGGCTGCTAGCTGGTGGCTGCTAGTTTCAGTTTGATGAGCATTCAGTATGGTGCGAAACACTGAGTTTTGGAATCGCTGCAGGATTTCTAGGTTCGAGTTACTCGCTGTACCCCAAAGTTCGATGCCGTAAGTCCAAATTGGTTTTAATACCGCGTTATAAATGAGAAGCTTGTTATTCAGACTGAGACGCTACGACGACTAGAATAAATAATAATAATAATAGCTGCTAATTTCTAATATTTTACGAGGTTTCAAGAATAATTTCACATTTTAATAAAACATTTTAACGGTTTTAGGTTTTATTTATTTAACTACAAGATAAGATATAATAATTATTATACAACGTGGTACAAAACTAGGCTGAACTTTAGTGCAGCAAAATCATTAATTAAATCTTTGCAATCAAATTTCCTTAAAAAATCAGCTTTTATGTTAAGCAAAACAAAATCGGTAAACCTTTGGTTCGACATTATTGTAAAAATATTTTTTTACAACAATGTCGAAAACAAAGCAGCAATCGTTCTCCAGAGACCAGAATAGTTACTGGCAGGAGTACACACCACATTTGGGTAAATGCTTTGAAGAGTTTCAGTTTGTAACCATTCCAACAAATTTACAGCACTGTTCATATCTTCATTTTTTATAGTGCAGTGAGCACAAAATGGAGACATTTCGTGAAAAATCGACTTTTTAGTCAGTAGATCAAATTATATGCAATGCTTTGGCCTTTTCTTTGATTTTTGACGCATTTAATTTTGTCAGATTAGGGTGTCGATTGGGGCCGCCATTAAATCTGGCCGCCCTAGGCCTGGGCCTACCGGCTCTTGGGGTAAATCCGCCACTGTTTATATGATTTATAATTGCTGAGATTACTGTTTCTATTTAGTTGTACCTCACTTTATCTAAACTTAAAAGTAAGATAAGCATGAAATACTTATCACTGCGTGATACATCCAAACTGGACAATACTATAAAGAAAGCAAGTTACAACCTATTTCAGTTTCATTCATTTCTTAAAAGAGAAGAATTAAGGAATAATAATGATTCATTATCCTCAAGTGAGTTGGCAACAGAAGGCTTATCCATACTAATATTAGAAATGAGAAAGTGTGTCTGTCTGTTATCTCTTCATGTATAACCACTGAAGCAGTTGAAATTAGATTTGGTATAGAGATAGTCTGGGTCCCGGGGAAGGACATAGGATTGTTTATATCCCAGAAATCATAGTTTAAATGATTGAAAAGGGGGGGAGGGAGGAAGTTTTTTTTTAAACACAATTGCATACCTACACAAAAAGCATACTAACTTATTGAATTATTTTTTTATAATTAGATTTCTTTTGTAAATGTGTGTCGTTCATACAAATAAACAAATCATCTACCTATCTATGATTTCTTTAAGAAAATATTATAGAGACTGATATCTGAACAAGGCTGTAGCCTGTATCTCAAAAGACTACTGGTCTTCTCAGTTGGTATGGTAAACCAATAAACCACGCAGACAAAGTTGTGGGCACCCACTAGTGGTCTGTGTTTGATTAATCCTTAAAAGCCAAAGTATACATACCTCATTTCCAAATATAAAATGATAAGTATCTGAGCGCAGATGAGTTTGACAGGGTAGGAATTAAAAGGGATTTATTAAAATGTATAAAAATCTGTTTTCTGTAATCAATATATTATTATTCTTAGTCTTGAAAAGTGATATTATTATGAAAAATCTAGTTCTCATAAATAAATAACTTGATTTTTATATTCTAAAATATAATACACAAATATGTACAAATCAATCCCCTCTCTCTACCCATTCATGTATATACTATGGAAAAAAATATCTTATGTGTTACAAAAAAGGTATTTGAATAATTTTAACCCAAGTTATAAAAAACATGAATATACGCATGCTGAACAATCTGTATTTTGTGGAGTTATAAAAAAATTTCAATATCTAAGACTAAACTAGAGCAACTGCTCTAATCCTATGCCACTTGTGCAAGTACTTAGTCTGATGATCATGGAAAATAAAAGGAAAACCAGCAAGTCCAATCTCATCCCAAATTTTATGAATTACATTTATTTATTAGGCTGTTTTAACAAACACATATAAACAGAATGAACTCCCTTTATTAGTCGATAAATAAAATAACTTCAATGTTTTGTACTTAAAACAGTGAATCCAAGCTGCTAAAGCAAAAGATAGAGATGGACGCATCAATTTGAGCTAAATATAGTGTTTGCAGGACTTGATTTAATTTACATTATGTGTATAAATAAAGTAAACATCTCGAGCAACGCTCCGGCGTTGAATAATATGACATAATGTGATTGCCTACTAAAATCCCATTAGAAATACATACCTGATTAGCGTAGGTAATAATTAAAGAATATAAAACACTCACCGTATGATTTACACCCCACATAAAAACGGACAGTAATGGTTCATTAGCTCTGAATAATTTCACTTTCTGGTGTTTTACACGAATGTGTTTCTTCTTCAGTTTGCTCAAGCCAGTACTCGGAACGGACATTTTGGATTTGTTTACAACTTATTTACAAGACTTAACGCGACCGCTCAGGACTATTTTCAATACAAACACTTAGATAAAACCATTTTAAATCAACTGCAGTATTATTAAGACGCAAAAAAATAATCAAATTGGATTTTTTACAGAAACTCGACACCCATCAACAGAGGAAACTGTTTTTTGACAGATCAAAATATAGTTACCAGCAAAATTAATATTGTGGTACAGAGTTGCAACTTCTATTAGTGTACCTACAGAGGCCTAAGCCCGAACACCATAACACAGGAAGAGTGAGATATAAAGAACAGAGGAATGTTACCTCTTTCTACAATTGTCAATCATGTCTCAGATTAATGATATTTATAGATGGAGCGATAAAATAACAATCGAAAATATAAGTAGCTTTCCAATTACAGAGCATAATGCGACTCAGTGGCGCACAATGCCGAATTATTATTATTATGCTTAATTGGAACGTGAATTAGTTTTCGAATGCACCAGCAGAGTGCGCTAAGTTCAGTGTTGAATAAATATAGTAATTATGAAGAAATAAGATTGTGTTGTCTTCACCATACTCTTTGGTTGTCTTCTTCATCTTGATAAATATGTTCTTTTCTACGAAAACATTGATGTTGCCTGCGTCAAAAATTCTGAAATAAAATTGTATTCACATTTTAAATGTGAAATATAAAAAAAGTCTATGTTTGTACCTTCATCCATACTTATTACTAATTTATTTTTAACACAATTTGAATTAACTTTGATTATTTAACTAACGTTAGATCAATGCCAACTTAAAGAAAAAACACTTGTTAATTTTCTGTCACTGAGTTTGTACGATTGCACACATCACACGAAAGCATTACTTTTGAGAGTACTCGATTGTGCGAAGCGTTGCTGTAGTTGAAACATTAAACGTTAAGCATTATGCCGCATAATGCGCTATAATGCTGTAATTGGAAAACTACCATATACTCCTCCTTTAGACAAAGACATGATTGTGTTAGAAAGTGATACATAATGTTTGTCATATCAAAATTCTTAAGGTTGGGGTGGTTTCGGCGGGCAGTGGCTGGAGAATCAGTGACGTCCTTTATAGGCATTTTATATCGACACAATGAGCCCAATTCTAGCGTGATTATCTAAACCTAAAATTAAATTTGACAACAGTGGTATCGATTCTGGCGTGATTCTCTAAACTTAAAACTAAAAACATCAGTGGGACCGATTCTGGCGTTACATTCTCTAAACCTAAACATAAAATTAGAGAGCTAATTTTAGTTTAGGTTTAGAGAATTGGTATTCTGAAATTGCGAACTAACTAAATTATGAACACAGTTGACAGCTGTAAACGAGCATGTAAATTGAATTCACAGATTATGTAAAAACATTGAACCGGTAATTATCGGTTTACTCAAATTAGCAATAATTACTTATTATTCAGTGATTTTGACTTATTTCAGGAATTCATTGTTGTTCTTCATAATCTTTCAAATATGGAAACTTAAAATAAGTTAGTTATTTTACTGTATGACAAATTATGAATCCATATTATAGAGTGAATACTTGCCTACTCTGTGGTACTTAGGGTTTCTAGATTTGGAGTGTTTATCCTTATTTTGGGGAAAAATAAGAACTTGGAGTAATTAAATCTGCGGGCAGAACTTTAATAATCATATTTTCCTTAGAAAATGACAAGTATTTGTTTTGGCAAAACGATGGAGAAATCTACCACTTTTAAAATTAAATTAAAATATAAGTACTAACTAGATTTTGGTACCTAATAAATCTATTAAGGATGATCAGTGACGATGGATCGTATCGAGTCCTGAGGCGAGCTTCAGCCGTAGCATGGTCATCGAGCCGATCTGTAATTTACAAAGTGTCTCGTCCGAGCAAAAACGTTTATTGTTTTGTCTGAGGTATCACTATGATTGACCGGTGGCACCGCGCCGGCGCTGTATTCATGCAGAGGGCGGTGGCCCAGCCCAGCCAAGGCGGGACCAAAATTTTTTCCGAGAGTTGTTTCATTTGTTGCTCGGTTGTCAGTCCGTTACCGTCTGGTATAGCGTGAATGTGTCCATAATCCATGTAAAATAAATTTTTTAATATAAGTTAACTAGAGGAGTTCGATGGCGCAGACGATTAACTCGTTCGGCTGCGATCGTTGAAGTTAAGCAACTTTCGCAGTGGTCGGTCATTGGATGGGTGACCAAAAATCTTCTATCTCGATTTCCTCAGTGCTTCGGAAGGCACGTTAAGCCGTTGGTCCCGGCTGCATCTGCAGTCGTTAGCACCCGCCAATCCGCACTGGGCGTGCGTGGTCGGTCATGGCCCAATCTCCCTATTTCATTCTGTGCCCCAGCAATGGGGATATTGATAGGCTGATGATGATGATGATGATTAGTTAACTCTGCTGCCGCCTACACGGTCTAATGTGAATCATCCTTGAAAATTTCTCGCATCGTAAATTCCCAATCCAGCGCATCTATCTTATACCTACTCGTAGGTACCTATCTACGTTTATAAATTTCGGTTTCGGTAAAAGGTTGTAATTATCCCCTCGGCTGTTTTGTGAAGATTTTATTCTCATTTATAGTATAATCCGAGATGCGTAACCTATTTTTATCTTTTTTGTTTCTATCAGTTTTTGGCGAGATCGTTCCAAATCCCAATTATTCATTTGGTGAAGATACCAAGTTTCGAATCTATAAAAACAAACTTTTCAATTACAAACAGTAGGTACTTATTTCGTGTTTGGTTATTTTAAGAAATATGATTAGCTTATAAAAAGTTGGAAGTAAAAACATTTCAACAAACATTAAAAACTGCTTCATAGAAACAACCACTAAAAACAAAGGAACAAATAATACATTAAAGTCTAAAGTACCTACATTTAAAGTCAAAATAACATTTGGATTGGAATGCATATCACTGACACCATACCTAACTATCTTGTTAATTATTATTTGACTATGTACTTCAGATATAAGTAGGATCTGTAGGTATTACTTATAGAAATAGTAGGTACATAGATTTCTTACCTTTTTAGCTTGCTTTTATATGAGTGGATATACGTGTACATTACCTACGAAAGACCACAATAGCGCAAGTATAACGCTTTCGTTCTGCGATCGTGAATGTTAAACAATTTTCACAATAGCCGAGCTTAGGATAGGTGATCAACCCAAAATGTATTTATTATATCGAGTTCCTATGTTGCTTCTCGCTGCATCTGCAGTCGTTAGCCCTCACTAAGCCGCATTAGGTCATGACACATTAATAGGCTTTTAATAAATCCGCATCGAAACATAGACATACCTACCTTTTTAAAAAAAAAAGATCTAACTAATATATTATTATCTCCGTCGTCGTTCATTAATGTATAAAATTTATGTTTTTTTTTAACGAAATACACCTATGTCCAGCCTTAACATCAAGTTCAAAAGAGGAATCATTTACGTGATATTTGTCCTCAATTATTCACATTTAAATTTAGAGAGGACCTCCGTAGGTCTTTCTTAAATTTAGTGTGACATTTCTAATTTTAGAGAAAATATGACATTTAGAACGCGTTTCAGAATACCATTTAATCATCTAAATCTAAGTTGAATAACTTAGCGACGTCAATTTTAAATTTAGAGATAGTGTGTCATTACAGAATACCAAATTGAATTTGACAACTCTATATCTAATTTTAGTTAGTTTTAGATATAAGTTGGCACGCCAGAATTGGGCCCAGTCTCTCCTTTTCATTCTGTATCAGAGAATGACGAGGATACACTGGTGTCGATTCTGGCGTGATTGTCTAAACTTAAAACAAAATTTAACATTAGTCTCTTCTTTTTATTCTGTATAGAGAATGAAAAGGATGTACTGAAATTTAAGTTTAGCTTTAGAGAATCATGCCAGAATCGACATCACTGTTGTCAAATTTAAGTTTAGGTTTATCACACATAATTTCTGTAATCTGTAATGCCGGCACTTCCATAGCGTTTCATAATGCTATTTATGATTTTGTTTTGATAGCATTTTGTCTTTTTCACACGTTCGGAAAGTAAAAAGGAGAGACTGCTGTCAAGTTTATAAATAGCAAACACAAATGGCCAATTGGGCAAGTTCTAGCAATCTGCTGGCTTAGTATCTGACATAATTTTCTGGAATCTGTTTGTGTATATTTACCCAAATAAAAATAAATTAAAAATACAACAACCAATTACTGACAAATAATATGGTTATCCCTAGTCCATTTGTGTATTGGGCCCAAACAGAAAATGTTATATCACTAAGAATCGACCTAAAAAGTGTTGAAAAACCTGATGTTAAAGTTCTAGAAAATAATATTAAATTCTCTGCTGTAGGAATTGGCGCACACGGTAGAACGCATTATGAGTTCAGCCTAGACCTTTTTTCACCAGTAAGAACTGTAAGTAGCCCCAGTGGAACCTACAGAACATCACTATAAAGCAGTGTTTCTTAAACCTTTAGCAGTCGCGAAACCATATCAGAATTTAAAGACGAACCCCTGTCAGTTAATACTACAAGCCTTTATCAGTAACTAGCGTCCGCCCCCAACTTCGTTTGCGTTAACTTTAGTCTTTTGAGAATCGCACAGTAAACTAACATTTTCCCGGAATAAAAAGTATCCTATGTTTCAATTCAGGTCACATCAAATTTCATACAAATCTGTCTAGTAGTTTTTGCGGGATGAGTAACAAACATACAAAATTTCACATTTTCATTTTAGTAGGATAGGAAGTAGGATAATAGCTTCATATGATAAAATTGATAGTTTCATAACAATTTGTAAAGATTTAATTTTGACGGTTTTTGAGCTACTACAGATCTCTTATACATAGATCAGAGGACCTTACTGTAATATGTCAAAAAGTCAGTAAAATAGAAATTAAAACTACACCCTTGTTTAAATAAAGAACGAAAGGCCTTTCCTTTGCTTTTATATTGTTTTTACTGGTGTCCTGCTGGCCTATTTGCTAACTTTCTTGATATTTACAGTGTGTAACTAAAGTGAAAATTGCATAACCATCTATGCTTTTCAAAACAAGGATCTTAGCGGCGTTATAATAAACAAGTAGTGGATCACTAAATAGCTCGGTGTTTATCATTTCCATCTCTCAAAAGCAGTTAGCGAATAGGCCTACTGATGAGACTGAGATAGATAGGAACACAATGGTGCCAATTCTGGCGTGATTCTCTAAACTTAAAACTAAATTTAACATCAGTCTCTCCTTTTCATTCTGTATAGAGAATGACAAGGATATACTGCTGTCAAATTTAAGTTTAGATTTAGAGAATCATGCTAGAATCGACACCATTATTAAATTTGTTTATTTGTACTAAACAGAAATATGTAGTTTGATGCAGAATCCATACTAATATTATAAATACAAAAGTGTGTTTCTTCTTCACACTTTAAACTGATTAAATTTTGGTATGGAGATAGTTTGATACCTGAAATAGGACTGAAATAGGAATAGTTTTTATTCCAGAAATCTACCATTAATAGGGTAAATGGTTGAACTTTGTTTGGGTAAGTAATTAATTAATTAATAAGAAAATGTTGTGGGTACTCACTTGTATACTATAAAAACTAATTTCAAATGCTGCAGATATTTGAAAAGTCAGTGAAAGCTGAAAATATTGTAAATGAAAGTTTGCTCACTTTTATACACTTCAACTGGGAGTTGATGAAAAAGGCTAAATTAATAAGGCTGTACATGTTTTAATGCTGATTCTAGAAATGATTGATTTGTAAATCTACTGCGGGGGTAGGAAGGCTGTTGAGCCAATACCTGCATGAGCATTGATCTTACGAAGGGCACCATAATTTATTCATCATTTAAATCTGTAGGAACTCTTTTGCTCTAATTGGTTACGTCAAGAAACTGCAGGAAATAAAATTTTCCGTTCTATCCCAAGGCTCCAGCATATATTTATATTGAAGTTTGATTTGTTTTCATTAATTTATTTTAACTTATGTTTTTAATAATAAGTATAGATGTCTCACATCAACCAGGCTTCCATGAGATAGTTCACTTTTTTAATATTAAATCTGAGATCAGTAAACATTTATATTCATGAGTAGGCAACACCTTTAATTCACATACTCTCAGCCATGGAGGTCTTCATCATTTATCTATGTATCAAATTTGAATTTGTGCCTGTATTTCTTAAAAAAAATTGTAGAACACTGCTGATGAAGGACAACCAACCACAGTTCGTGTTCTGGACAATAGAGTGGATTTAGTTATACAAAAAGAAAAGACTGCATGGTGGCCCCGACTCACAGCCCAGCCCCAAAAACCAGCATGGTTGAAGGTAAGTGATTCAGTATTTAGCCACATCATGAGTAGTGACCCATATGACCCATACCACAATCAAACAGAGAAGTTGAATAAATGCTTCACATTTGCATAAATAATGTTTGTGATAAGTATTCATTATAAATTTTAAATACTAATACAAAAATGCTAAGGATAGGTAAAGTATGAAATTATCAAGGAAAGAAACTAGAAGGCAGGGTGTGAGAGCGTTAGGTCTGCATTGCACAGGTTTCTGTGTTGAGTGGTGCCCTAGATAGTTCTGATATGGGAGGGCTAACGCATGTGGCCACGGGTCGTACTCCTTCTCCCGACACAAATTCTGGCGATCTCGGTCCCCGGACATATGTGGGTGACAGGGGCGTACAGAGTATTGTCTGCTGTTTTGGTGGGTACTCATTTCGCCATGCCTCCAGTAGAAAGCTGGGGGGCGTCCTACACCACACTTCTCGGTACGCGGTCTCCACTCAAGGACTCGACTCCGTCATCAACGGCCATCGATCCTTCGACAAATATGGCCGGCCCACTGCCACTTTCCCAAATATAAAAAAAAACAAAGTGCCTATAACAGCTACTATTTCTTGGAAAACGCCATTTTAAATGATTAAACTGCTTCTGTACAGAATATTATTAAGAACAATATCTATCATTTATCAACTCAGAACTCTGAAATTTCAAATGATTTAAAATATATTTTGATTAGAATGGCATGGCATTATAATCATGTTATAGTGGCGTAGCCCTGTTCAATTATAAATACTAAATGAGATATATATGTTTTTACAATTTGTTTTTCAATTTGTTTTTGCTGTGATAACATTTACCTGGTAACAGATAACTCTGCACAAAGTCCCAAGAATTCGCATAAGTTAAACTTCAAATGTGCTAGTTAACTTCAAAGTTCATATCAATACTGTTAAGTGGTAGAGAGACAGGTGAGAGAAATTCACGAGCAACATTTAAAAAAAAAACTAATCCTTGTTTGACTACACTACACTATACAATATTCTAGATAAACTTTGATTTGTGGAAATCGGAAGACGCACAGGACAGCGACGAAGAGAAACGTGACGTTATGAAAGACTACCCGGGCATGTATGAAAAACTGCAGAAGGAAGAGATTGGATACAGGAGAGGTAAGCTTTAATATTATTTTATTGATTTACGAATTATCAATAAGCGGTGATCACGCCTTCGCTTCCATGAGTCCTGAGGAATTAATCCCAGTCGCCCCCGCGTGGATTACCACCGGATGCAAGTGGGAATGAAGTCACTGCCGTAGGGGCAGCTTTCAGCTTTTATATTTCTATTTGCCTCTGGTAGCAAACCCCGCGACTGGGAATAAAGGTTCCTGTGTTCGAATCCTGGTTGGCAGCGTGGCATTTGTTTATGGCAGAAGCATTTTGCATTGCATGTGCTTCAAAGTAGATCTAAATCCTGTCAGTTTCTGGATTAAAACAGTCTTCGCAAAAAAGTTGGCACATAACTCCTTATACTCCTCTTAACATTAACTAAAAGTAGCAGATAAACTAAAATTAGCTTTTCTAGTCTTCCTTAAATCATTCGAGATACTCTTCTGTGGTATAAATGCCAACTCAAGTGTAACCAGTTCCAGGTCCAAGTTACCAAACCAAATTATTCAGCTCAATAATGGCCGTATTTTTGTTCCTTAAAAATAAATAAAACTGGTTTTATATTACTCATATACAGAATAATTTTTCTGCCTCGGCCTAGTAAGTATTGAAAGAGTATATTTTTAAATATTGACCTTTGATCTGTACCTATACAGTAAGATGATGATTTTTCAGAATAACATTACTTGTTGCGTACATTTACCTACTTACATACATATTTATAGCTTACACGGGTTATATTATACTCAAAACATTTACCCCCTCATTCCAAAACGCTTACTAAAGTTAGTCTTGGTTTTAACCTAATATTGTCTCTGTCTTCTTTTTAACAAACAAAAACGTGACGCGATTCTGTCAGTCATCATCAACCTTACAAGGTTAGCCGAGCATAAAACAGTGATGATATGGAAATGAAACATAAGAGTACCTTAGAATTAAGAAAATGACGATCCTACATTTTACGTAAAAAAACATTTTTTCACCGTTTCATTTATCTATACTTCTACAAATTGCACCAATGTTGTCTCCCCCTCCCTCAATTTTGAACGAGCGATTGTTGCAGTTAACAAAGAGGCTACCACAAGATTGCGATGCTACGTCGCACTGTAGAAACCTACGCGCGCATAACGCATCGTCTAAATATCATTACGAGTTTTCTGAGGAGCTGTTTCTTCCTTTCCTAAATAGGATCTCGTATCCTTTCCTTTCCTTGATAGGAACTGGTTTGCGAGCTATCGACAATCTTGCCACTATCCAAAGCAAAACAAAGAGATTTTGTGTCTCGTTTTTACGACAGTATTCGTCAATGAGTCCTTTTACTGTAAAATTATTTTATTAGCTGACAACGGATTGTTAAGTGGTGGGTGTTGCATGTGAATTTATTATATCAGCTCTTTAAACGCATCTGGTATCTTCTTACACTTTATGTCAGTTAGGAAGCATTCGTTTGATCGAAAGCTCAGTACCAGAAAAAATCTTTGATGAATCTCAGATATCTGCATAGCAATGACGAACTAACATTCAGTCTATCGAGCTTTGTCACCTTGGACATTCTGACCCTTGGCCCAACATACCGCGGAGGGACGAATTGAAGCTAGTAAAATGCAGTATGCGATAAAATATTCGCGTCATACGTCATCGCATTACCGTCGTTTTTACGATGCGTGCACCGCAATGTCCTGATCTGAAGATTATTTCATTGTCGTCCAAGATTATTTCTTTTCTTTTTTTAAAATGTAACCTTCGCCATGTCAATACAGAAAATAGCAAAGATATGGAACATTACACGCAATTGCCAATCGCGCTTGGCGCTTACATTGTTAAGTTACGTTAATGTTATAGGTATTTCTGTAAGAACAACATGCTGATTCTATTTTCTTACTTTCATGTCATTATATTTACTTAAGTATCGTACATTCTTTACAGAAGAGATGATAAAAGTGTACCTGATATTGTACAACCTGTTCCAATTTGTTGGATACACGTACATATTGGCTGTGATAGGAGTGCGTTATGCGAAATTGGGATATGACTCTGTGGCTGATACATACGAGCATGTGGGCCCCGCTATGAAGTTTGTACAGCTGATGCAATACCTGGAAGTTATGCATCCCATGTTCGGATACACGAGGGTAAGAATTCAACTTATTTTTTTTTTATCGGCTAATCGAAAGTTTTCTTTTCGTCTTTTTTCCCAATGTCAATATATCTGTAGTTTGGTTTAATACTTCACTGGTTCCCGTTACTTCGTCTGCATATAATATAATTATTTGCTTCTTATAAAGTAAAACTATTTCACCCATTATATCTTCTCTAAGGTCTTCATTAAAACGCATCGTCTAAGAGTTATGACAGTTCTAAATGCAAGCTCATAAAATTTTACGACTTATGTGTCGTCATATATGCGGAAAAATATAGACCTTATTTCTTTGATTCTATTCGCAATTCTGAGTGCGCTGTTAACAGTATAGCAGGTCCAGACAGCGAGGAAAAGAGACCGCTATATGTATAACCGACCATGCATTTGAATATCACAAATATTTTCTATTGAATCAGTTTATAGTAAGTATTAGAACAAAATTTACTTAAAATGCGTTAAATTAACAAATATTGATTAGATACCTGTCGAAAAAACGCACTTTATGTACTATAAGTAATTTTTTTCACATTTTTCACGGAGCTCTGCGGCATCTTGACTTTTCAATGGTCCACGCGTGACTGTGAACCAAGAAGTGCTTGAGTCGTGTTTAAGCACTTCTTGATTGGGACACATTTTGAGAGCACGTGGTGTATCTAGGGTATTTAATAACGTTGGTCTAAAACGTCAAAAGATCGAAAAATTATGGGTTTTATTAAAGGTAGTGTTTTGCATACAGGGTGGGGTATTGACACCGTTCTTACAAATAAGCGGGCGAGCAATGGTACTCTTTGTGAACATTGAGGCTGAGCCGCGCATGCAAACCAAACCGGTGGTCTTCTATCTGTTCATCATATGGAGTACAGTCGAAGTCATTAGGTAAGATCATCAAAGTCATATGTATCTATTGTGTATATTTAAAATAAGACCATATTTTCCCATGGGCTCGCCGTTACTTAAAATCAGCTTTACGGATTGCATTAATTGTTTTTAAAGCTTTCTTATATTTTGTAGGAGGTTCTTACCGAAAAAAATAATAAGATAACTTAACTCTGTTCTTCGCTAATTTTTTTGTAAGTGACTATAAATACATATATATTTATAATATAATGTTTGCATAAATAATATATATTTATACAGGATGGTCCAATTAGTGACGTTAGCAAGTTTTTTTAGAATCCTCGCACTTGGAAGTATCCGAAAATACCCCATGTGTGTTCCGCGATTTTTCTTAGTTTTCGAGTTATATTTTTTTGTGTATTTTTAATGATTTCTGCCAGCGAGGTTTCAAAAATTCTATTTTTTTTTCGTAGTAGGTATTTTGCAGTAGTTTTTTGTGACATAATTGTCTTGAATGTAGTTTTAATAAAAAAAATAACTCCGCTTCCTGAAATTACTTAAAGTTACTGAAAAAAGGCTTGAAAGTTGGAACTTTACTTTTTTTTACCCGGCTGCGCAATGCAAGAGCGCGAAGCGCGACGCGCAGACAGGGTTATGTGTTTAACAGTCTATATATGTATGTTTGTTCCTTTGTGGCACACTAGAGACCAAACGCCTGGACCGATTTTTTAGGATTATCTACTTACATATACCTGCCCCCACAGCATGCAAACCGGTAGATTAATATGTTTTCCGTCATCGGAACTTTGTCATAACGTAACCAAAAGTCATGTTGATTTTATTTTGCTGCCCTAGACGTTCGGCATAAAGGGCTCAGGTATGGTGGGAGTACTTAACAAGGTCCAAGGTTGCTCCCTTATGTTATTCTGCTGCGCTCGAGTAAATCCCAAAATCAACGCTTAGGTTCCTCTACTATAATAAGCTGATGGTGGCAACTTAACTTTGCGTTTTTTTTGTAACATGCTTAAAAATAAATTAAATATATAATCCACTTAATGGATTATTAATATGTAGCATCCGCTGTAGCAGAAGTTGCAGATATTGATGTTGATCTTAATTTTACTTAGGTACTATATAAATGACTAACTAGGTTATGCATATTGCTGAAGTTCATCCTGAACTACTGTTAAATGTTTTTTAAGTTTAATTTTTATTTTACAAATGTTTTTACAAGTAGTATACAATAATTGTAGTTCTGTAGGTAGCTTGTTAATAATTTTAGCGTTGCCAGCACGCATTGAACAAAATTTGTAATTTGCTTTCAGGTACCCGTTCTACATAACACAACTGTACAAGAAGGAAATAGGTTTCCTGACATGGCTACGATACTCGATATGGATAATTCTCTACCCGTTAGGATTCTTATGCGAGTCAGTAGTCATACTGCGGAACATTCCGTACTTTGAGGAGACGCAAAAGTTTACTGTGTCTATGCCCAACGAGTGGAATTTCGCCTTCCATATGCCGTCGTTCCTCAGGTTTTACTTGTTATCGTTAGCAATGGCCGGAGTTTTTCTGATGAAGCATATGTACAAATTGAGGACTGCCAAGCTGAAGCCAAAGATCGTCATAAGGAAATGCAAGTGAGGCCGATACATCACTTGTGATCGACGCGACTCGTTCTGAATGGGGGAAAGCATTTATTGGCCAAACATTTAAACCTTTCTTAAACTTGAGCAACTGATATACTCATAAGTAGATATTTGTAAAAGTAGTAGCAACTTTGAGCTAATCCACAGACAAAGAAACTTGCGCAGTAGACGTTTTTGTATGTAAAATTGCTACTGCCTCCTCTTCCTTGTCTAGGGTCGATGCTCATGAATAAGGGCGTTTTCTGTCTCACCAGATGGCGCCACTGTTAAGTGAGGTCCAGAATTGTAACTTTTAAAGTTTATATAAACGCCCGTGAAATAAAAGTTTACATTTAAATCATATATTAATTCAAAAGAACCGTATCCTTAACATAATCGGAAAAAAGGAGGACATAATATTTTTTCTTAGCTCTACTTTTAAATAACTGACATTCATTGCCACGTTACTCATATTTGCCATAATTAAGCCGAGTTATGACCAAATATTCACAATATCTCTTATCTATTAGACAAGTCCGTCCGTCCGTCCGTCCGTGGTGCTGTTTCAGCGGCCAAACCGTAAGAGATAGATAAAGAGAATGTTTAAGTTATAAGTTGAGAATAGTCTGATAAGATTACAAACCAGATGTGAGTAACGTAGCACTTCCGGTTTTCGAGAAATCACGTGATTTCTATTTCAAACGAAACCACACAAAATCTCCGAAGTTCTCAATTAATTAATAGTTATTTATTATACAAGAGTGGAAAGTTCCTTTTTAACCGCGTGCTCGATTTGGATGACCGAGCAAGCGAAGGATTCTAAAGTTGAATCACGAGCGCAGCGAGTGATTCTAAATTAGAATCCTGAGCGTCAGCGAGGGAAACAAACGAGCACAAGGTGAAAAATCTTTCCACTCGAGTGCAATACGTAACTTTTCATCCCACCTCAGCGAGGAAATGACAAAATGAAAAAGAAAACAATTTATAATGACAAAATATTTAAGCAATAAAACGTGAAAAACTAGAATGGCGCGAAGCACGCAAATAAAACAAAGAAACCAAGAAGGTTCCAAATTTAAATTTTTTCACAATTTAAAAAGTTCTAATCATAAATTTGGCACCATAGAGGTTACATTGAATAGGTTTAATGACGTTTTGAATTTACAATTATATTGAGTACTCATTATATGTGATGTTCTAAATTCAAATCTACTTTGCCGCTCAAGCGAATAAAATAGAATTTTCCAGCCAGATTTCGAAGCGCAAAATTACACTTTCCGAGGTGGTGGGATGAAAATACATTTTTTTTTGGTGAACATTTGGTTCACTGGTTTGCTAGTTATTTTAATTAGAAATATACCCGCGAAGTCAACTCGCAAGCAATAATATTTAACATTTCAGAGACCTCACGCTACACTAGCGCCTCTAGCGTCGGATTCATTCGCGATAGCCCTCATAGTAAGGTATATCCAGCGTTGCCATTGATACGGCAATTTGAACTCATAGTTTCAGATTATACGGCATACGGATCATTGCCGTATAATAATACTAACTACCTATAAATTTTAATAAATAAAATTAAGTAATACGGCAATCATGATTTTTATTTAAAAATACGGCAATCTGATGTATCGAATACGGCAACTCTTCCAAACTTGATGGCAATACTGGGTATATCTATTTAGATTTCACATTACGCAGCAGAACAATCAAGGAATGTTTGAGTGTTAGGCCGTTAGTTTAGATAATTTAAATGTATTAATATACTATAACCCCTTGTTTCCACCAAGAAAAAAGTCTTATACTAGTTTTAAACAAAACTTGGATAATACTTTTTGAAGCTGTTTATAACACTGTTTCACTAACATTGGCATAAACGATATATTACGAGTAGAAATCACTTTTTTACTTCACATATTTTGTTTATTCAACAAGTTAGATGCAAGTATTGTATATTACATGTTCTATACATGTATGAAAGTTTGAACAAAAGATTAAGACATTGTATAAAATGTTACATGTATTATAACTTGGTGTAAACGATAGGTTAGACAGCAATTTTTTTCTTAAACTAGTGAAGCGCAAAAATGCTAGTCTTTAAGATAATGCAATACAGCAAAAAACAAACTATCTAATCGCTAAAACGACTGTCGACTGATTTAATTACTACTGCGTTGTAATAGAAAAACTACTTTCCTTTATCCCACCTTCTCTATTCCTTGTTAGAAATTTGATACGAGTCCAAAAAATTTGGCGATTCATTAAAATAATATGTGCACTGACATCGTCACATCTACGTCAAACTTACGAATCTGCTTTTTTAGTAAAAATCTATAATAAAAAACTGCCCATAATGGGATACTTAACACCAGGGAAAAGTCACACAATTTTATCAATGACGGTTATAAAAGTCTGATTGTTTGAATCTACATTTTATGTTTATACACCCAAAGTAAACTTACCAAATTAATGTTTGGCGTAGTAGGTTTTATGCTCAGACCAAATAAAAAGTAAAGACGGAGCCTGCCGAACCAAAAAGTGAAGCCGGTTTTTTATGTATGTAGTGCCAGTGCTGCCAACCCGAATTTTAGAAAATTAGTAGATTATGTGCCAAATGTTGGTAGAAGTTGGTAGAATGTAAAATGCAAAATTGGTAGATCTACCACCTGACCTCAATTTAGAAGATTTTTTAGGATTAAAAATGTATGCAATGCAATGCAGAGCACACTTCAGATCACACCTACATGATTTGCAATAAAAATATCCGTCACCCTTAGTAATTTCTTGAAGCCAACCTGCAAATTAATTGTCTTTCTCCCATAATTTCGAATATTTTTGGTCATAGTTTCTAGGTTTTCGTGGCGGAGTATCTAACCTAGAACTATGTGCATCGCTTTCGCTGCTGTCAGAATCCATTATATAAATAAATGCACGCAACATAGAACAAACAGCAATCAGCACCGTTAATACGCAGTTAATTAGTTTTTACAATGAAATAGGAGCAAAGATTCAACATTGATTCCGCAACAAACCAACCGGGAATAGGCCACAGTAGGAATAGTAAAATATGGGCGCGAAATTGTGCGAACGCCGAACTCATATCAACTGTTGCTGACGTTTTGTTTTTTGTGGTTTATGGCCTGGACTCTATGTATGCTTGAGGCATCGTTGCATGGCTCATGCAATACATCGCAACGTCGCTCGTCGATATAAAAATAATACAAAGTGGTGATATGTCAAACTAATTAAAAAATAGGTAGTTTTTAGGTCTAGGGTGGTAGATAGGTAGACTGAAGTGAAAATTGGTAGATCTACCAAAAAGTTGGTAGATATGACAGCACTGTGTAGTGCATTAGCCAGTGTTACCATAGTCATATAAAACACCCCAATATTAGAAAAATGTAATAACGTTATTTCATAACGTTATTACTTTTTTAATAACGTTATAAAATATTAGAAAAAAATATCGTAAGCTTATTCTCTAAACCTCTCGTGAGCCAAAGGTCATACGCCGTTCTCACCTACAAATGCCGGACTTCTTTATGGACCGCCCGCCCGTTGGGTGGGAACGATTGCATTGTTCTGCCGATTTCTCTGTTATTTTGTAAAAATACCCTTCACAAACGTATATTTGGATTCTCCATAAAATTTTCAATAAAACAGTGTGTACACAATGCGTCATGTCTATAATTTATTTTAAATACATTATGGTAAACTCAGGAAAGATAATAAAAAATCGTTTAAATAGGTAAAATGAGGTGTATTTTCAAAATTTGTAAATTATAAATCCAGGTTTTTGTACATATAGAATGTACTATATATGAATGAATGTATATAATAACTTACCAAATACAATTATAAAATATAACACGCAACAGAAAAAAAGGTGTCGTGTTGCAAGTGTTGGTAAAAACAAATGCGAGATCCAAGTGCCTTGATTTATGTGTTGACGCTTAATTATGTTGGATTGATTATTTTACTTTAGTTACAAGTCTCGGATGGAATAGGTTTGTTCATTTTATAGTTTCAAGCACTCGCAACAAGGCACTTGAAATCGCTTACAAATCAGTCATCTCAACTTTATGTCGATAAAACGAAAAGCATATACAAATGTTGATAAACAGTTTCTTTTATTAAAATGTACATGAAATTTTCTATAGAATACACAAAATATAATCACTAGTTCCTATACAAGAACATAATAAAATACATCCACAAACATCGCGAATTTTGGGTCAAAAAGGCCATTAAAAAGTACAATACAAATAAAATTACAAATATATTATTATTTTACAAATCGTCGCTCTGAAAATGAGTCGAACAAACCACGCTGCGGGAAGCTGGTTGCCACAATGGTGCATTTCTACTCTTACGAATGACTGCAATCCACTTCTTTTAGATCTTGATCTCGATTAGGAAATCTTAAAAAGAACGTATATTAAATAATGTGTATTACATCCCAAAAAAATTATACGAAAACATGAAGAAAAAAGATGTTTCGTGTAATTGTTTATCCATGCATTACAATATTCGAATAATATAAAAGTATGCCACACAATGTATATAATAAAATAACGTTACGTTATATTTCACGCTACCCAACAAAAGGGTAAAACTGTAACGAATAATCATGGCAACATTTCGTTCAGGTTTTGTTTACAAAGCGACAACCTCAAATTTGATTTTGATTAATTGAAAATAGCAGTTTATAACTTTACTTACGTATGAAATGTGATTCCATCCTGTTTTTTATTCTTGGAAGATTGGTTTTTACACGTTTTCACTACACAATTCGGCATTTTCTCTAATAAATATTGTTATTTATTATTACGTCACACTCCGCGCGTCGGGATAGCTCGACTGAGAAGCCAAGGCGTAGTTTCGTTGCATGTGTGTGCGTGTAACTGTGTATGTACACGGCGAGGCGTAGTTTTATCGGCTTCACTTTTTGGTTCGGCAGACTCCGTCTATACTTTTTATTTGGTCTGAGGTTTTATGAAATTCAAATTCGTATGTTTACTATGGAAATGACGACATATAAATATCAATTTGTTTTTATTTTTAGGTAGATGGTTTGTTATTATTTTTAAGGTGGTGTACTGTTTATGTAACGAATGAATTTTGTAAATTATATAAATATTTAGAGTATTAGAAAATCAAACCAAAATACGGTCATTGGGGTAGAGCGACAGAGCACGACGTCTGCTCCCCTTGCATGAGCTCCGCGATATGATTTATAACGCGTTTTTATCACGCTGAATTGACAAATTTCTATGGGGTTTGACAGTTAGACGCGCTAAAAAACTTGATATAATGTGTACCGTGTTGCTCATGCTACGGGTACTGGGGTACCATAACACAAGCTTTACAGTGATTACTTTGGGTATGGGTCTAGAAGGTATGTGTGAGTGTTAGAAATATTTATTTATCTTTTTTGCAGTGATTTTAAACTTGTTCACGGAAATGAGCTATTAAATAAAAAATACCTAAATTGACCGGCTGTCTTGCTCCAACTAATGACATCCCCCTTTGTTGTGTGAAGCAGATTTCCATCTTTGTCTTTTCTAAGCGATTATTGCGCTCCACTAACTCATTTCCGAGAAAAACAGTAGTTCGTCTAATCTAAAACTGAACGCCCCTCCATTGTCTTACTCTTACATGCACAATCGGTGCACAGATGCAACACACTCAAATTAGCTATAGTCATTGGTCATTCAGTTGATTCAGTCGCCGCGCCGGTTCAACGATATTAAACACCCTAGATACACATTTTGAGCGCACGTGTTGTATCTAGGGTATTTAAAATCGTTACGCCGGCTAGACAGATACGGACGTGACAGCACGCTTCGATCACTTATAGACGTACCGTTATAGTTTGGCGGGGCGTTCAGTTTTAGGATAGGCTACCTCTATAAATGTGCAAAATGTAAACTTGGCTGGGTACATGTTTTTTTTATATGCAATGGAATTTTGTTTATACTTTGAAAATAAAATGGTTTTGTTTAAGTGATATTTTTATTCTTTGGTTTTTTACATAATACCCTCACAACTGTCATTATACTGCTGGAGAACTAACAACTCATTGAATCGCAAGCAAAATCCTAATCACTTCAGTCATTCTATGAACAAATTAATAAACTTTTGAAGTTGTGTTGTCTCTTCAGAGGACAACAATATATATATATCTTTTTTAACTAGTTTTGGGCCTAGATTATTGTACTATCATTTCAATTCCATGTGACATCAGTATATTTTAACATATTAGCAGTGCTCTGCTGCATCAAAGGTCACCTTGAAATGAATACAACAGTTCATAATTATTCCCTGAGCAACACCTCTGAAATTTCTCTGTTGATTTATTTATCAACTAGCGACCTCCGGCAACTTCGGCTGCGTAAACTTGTTTTATTTTTATCCCTCAGGAACCTAAACCTTACCAGGATGAAAAGAATCCCAGGTCTCAATCCAGGTCATACATCGTATGCATACCAAATTTCATCCATATCCATCCAGTAGTTTTGTGTGATTGAGTAACAAACTTACAAACTTTCACATTTATAATATTAGTAGGCATTACTAATATAAAAGGTTCTAAAGATTTTGTCTTTACTAAAGGTAACAAACACACAGCTGAATTCAAAAACTCATTATTTAGATCTTGAATTCATGGCAGTTGATTTTAGATAATAATTAATCCACTTCACGGACCAGTCATACAATCCCAAACACTAAGCTAGGATGTTTGGTATAAAACAGTGTTTGTGGCTGAAAAATCAAAACATTTCATAAAACTGAATCTGCTTTAATTTGGTAAGCTACTAATAGCAACACTAGATTATAAATAAGTTCTCAATATTTCACTGTGGCCTTTCCAGAGACTGAATTGTTTTCAATTATTCATGTATGGTGTCATCACAATGAAAATAATAAGACTCAATTTCTAAGACAGTAGTTTCAGGTAGGCTCTTCTGTACCATTCTTTAGGATCAGCATGAGCATAGTACTCGTGGAAGATGGGCTCGACCAGAGTATCTGGTGGCAAGTTCTTGTACACCCTTTCGCCGTAATAGGTACCAACCTGCAAATAATAACATTATATTGGGTCATTATGAATAAAAAAAATATTATTTTGAAAAACTTTGTTCATAAGATAATTGCTGTTTATGCAGAAAGTTATGTTTTTACCTCCCAACCAGGCACATCCTTCATCAATTCTGCTTCAGCGTCGCGGTTCTTGCGAAGCTGTTTAAGGTACTCCCTGTCTCTCTCGGCTAACAGCATAGGGTAAATGGCCATTTTAGCTGAACGCATTTCAACTTCATCTTTTTTTATCTGTTTGTAGTTTAAGTTATACAGGTATAATCCTGCGGCAGTGATGCCGATGTAACCAGCAAACATAGCATACCCTGAAACAATAGAAAATAAAAGCTTAACAAATAGGTTATCACTTAGCTTCTTATTCTAAAAGGAAGTTACTAGATAGTAAAATCCTTCACATATTTAGTGGGTATAGAAACAAATCTTGGCCAAAAGTTGCTATGTAAATTAGTCCAAAATTAATGCAGTATTTAGAATAAATGATTTTTTAAAGATGAAAACAAAAATTCTAACCTCAAAGATTATATAATGTGAAAAAGTTTGTCGTAACAATTAAAAATATATCTGAACAGTCAACATACCGCTGAAAAATTGTTTGGCTGGGATTCTTTTGTAAGGAATTGGCTTGTAGCCCCCCGGAGGGGGCAAATCTTGTTTTCTAATTATTGCGTCGGCCATTTTTAGTGTTCTTCTCTTTGACACTGTCTGTCAGTCAGAGTCCGTCAATGACAATGTCAAGATGACTATCAATTTTTTTTTATATTCTCTCTTCAAGGAAGGCAAAGTAGCCAACAAGGCATACTTTTTCGCACATGAGGGCTCGTGCAGGTGGTTTTCCAATTACAGAGCATAATGCGACTCAGTGGCGCACAATGCCGAATAGGCTAGTTGACCCTTTTTGGAAAAAGGTTTTAAATGGTTAATTAATGTTCTATTAGACCGAAAAAAAATGTATTGTATTTTTTTTAAACCTAGAAAGCTACAAATCTTTAATTTTAAAATAGACTTTTCATGGACATACAAAAACGCTGTCGGCCATTTTAGTCTATAGATTATCTATGCTATGACGTGAACTGTCGTAAACAAAAACTCGTAAACACGTAGAAAATTACTTTTAACTGAGTTTATAATAAACAAAAACATGATTTCTAATAAATACCACGAAAAATAAAGTAATTATCATTACTGTATTGTACGAGAATATAAAAACACATCCTTGAAGACTCCAGGAAAGTTGTCGATTAAAGTGCCGAAAGAAATTAACCTACGCAACTTTATTACACTTATTCATATGTTGTATCAGTTTTATGTTTATTACTACATTGTAATACTAAATGCACTGTACTTACATAGATGCCTTGTCGTTTCTCTGCTCCGCAGAGCAGAAATCGGGGTTTAGTGCAACAAATTCACCAACCATCAATGCGTCAATTCTTGGCAGATTTGTGCTTTCTGCTTTCACAAAGCCGGCATCCATAATTAGTTTTGTCAAAAAAAAACTAAGTTTACTGTTTTTTTCTTTCCTAAAGTTAAAAGTGTTTTATGATAAATTTAGTCAGACGAAAGAATCCACCTACAGTAACACGCGAATGACATTTAGTTGTTTACCAGAAGAGACGTCAAAATCATGGCGGATGTGGCGAACAGCGTTTTTAGTGTTTAAAAAATATAGACTAAAAAATATTTTTTAAAATTAAATTTCTACAGCAATCTTCTGCTTTTATGAAGTGAAATCGATATATTAAGGTTCCTTAGACTAAACACTTTAAGAAATAAACATTTATTTAATACAATTTGACATGAGTAAACTAGCCTATTATGCTGATGCTTAATTGGAACGTGAATTAGTTCTCAAACGCACCAGCAGAGTGCGCTAAGTTCAGTGTTGAAAAAAAAGTCAATGTTTGTACCTTCACCCATAAAATATGAAATAACTTTGATTATTTAAAAAAAACTATAATGAAACGAAAGTTTTAATAAATTTTCAACAATAAATAATATTACTAAAGATAACATATAAATAAAACATTTCGATTAATGCCAACTTAAAGAAAAACCACTTGTTATTTTTTTGTCTCTGAGTTGGTACGATTGCACGCATCACACGAAAGTATTAAGGGAGAAACATATTAACGTGTCGTGTCGTGTCGTGGCGCGCCAGAAGCACATCGGTTTCATACATTTACTATGGTTAAAGATATATTTACGTATCGTGTCGTGTCGACGCTTTAACCTCTCTACCTCTCTCTAACCCATAATAAATGTATGAAACCGATGCGCCACGTCACGCCACGACACGTTAATATGTTTCTGGCTTTACTTTTGAGAGTGCTCGATTGTGCTAAGCGTTGCTGTAGTTGAAACACTCAACGTTAAGCATTATGCCGCATAATGCGCTATAATGCTGTAATTGGAAAGCTACCGCAGCGTCCGGCCGGTGATGTCGCGTGACTGCCGTCGTACCGACTTGCAGCTACTTGTTTGAACGTGTATATTTAAATGGCTCAATGCAGCGTGCCGGCGACTAGGAACCAAACTTGACAGCGTTATCGCGCATCGTTATTCTACATACGCCCACCCCTATTTGTCTGTTTATTTCGTACATCCGTAGCAGTGTTGCCAGGTCTCCAGATTTTACAGGAGATCCTGTTTTTCTGAAATTTTTCCTGTTCTACTGTTTTTAAACATGAATCTCCTGTTTTTTTTAGAATACTATTTTCTTTTTTAAATTGCATGTTGAGTTGTATTTTTGACGTGACAACGTCTTAAATTAGGTTGCGGCTGGGAGTCACTTATGAAAAAGTGTAACGCTCGGTAACGTTACGATGAGTCTCTCGTGTTAAGTTTAAGTTTACATGTACAATGTTTTAGTAAACAAAATATATTTCTATAGTTAAAATTTGTGCAATTCTTATTTTCATTCAATTCCTTGTTCCTATTGTGCAATTTAATTATATTCATATCAATAAATATTCTACCGAGAAAAAGACGTTGTCACGTAAAATCTTCGCCCGTAAAACCGACTTTACAGGCAACCATTTTTTTCGTCATTAATAATGTAGATAACCTTAATAATTACAAAATAAATGTAATTGTCTAAAGAAAAAAATGCTTTGAGGGGCGGCAGAAGCCACACAAACACATTCGTTACTGGTCTTTATCTTGATTTGATTTACCAATTCTAGGGGGGGGGGGGGTTCAAACCGGAAAAAGTACACCTCTGCATCTACTGTTTTTCTTGTAGCTGTTTCCATACATCTACTGTTTTTTTCTATAACGCCTCCCGATTTTTAAAACTCGGACATGGTAACACTGATCCGTAGTCTGTATGTCTTCGTTCAAAAATACATTGTTTCGGAATTTCCATTAAATGATTATTTTGAACATTTTCGCGTCATTGTAAAATGTTTTTGTTTAAATGAATCTATGACTGAATTTTCTAAATCTTGAAATTATCATAGTGGACAACGTATGGCCTAGCCTGTAAATATTGTAATATAGTGTAAATAAACTGTTTCTAAACAAGAGCAAAAGTCTGTCAAAACGCTTCGCCAGGAAGAAATGATGCTTTTCTATTTAATTTTTAAATAAAGCGATACTAATTGTAAAATCTGTATAAATTATGTCTGGTGGTCTCATAGATAAAGTTTATATTGGGCTTGATAATGCTCCTGCAGCATTCGACATAAAAGGACGTATTCTTGGTCCAGTAAGTTGGGCGCTTTATTTTGTTGTTTTCTCTCTATTTTGTACATAAGTATCTAATAACATCTCATTTTTACAGAATGGAACTAATTTAGAATACATAAGGTCAGAAACAGGTGTAGTGGCAGTGTTAAAAAGTGATAAATTTGAACCATTGCATTTGGCTTTGCATCATACGCGATCCGAAGCGTTAACTGCTGCTCGATCATTGGCACAAAATCTAATTGAGACTATTAGAGCGGAGCTGGCTCAATGGAGCGCTGCCCAAGCTGGCGGGCCGCCGCCAGCGCTTAATGTCCCACCACCCACCTTAACGACGACTGCTGCCCCGCCGCCCGTACCTCCTCCCGTTTCTACCGTCGCATTGTCATCACAATCTACTCTCACGACTCCACACCCCACAGTGATACCACCAGTAGTAACTGTAGCCCCTGCATCAACCCCACTGATGACTGTACGGCAGCCAACTGTACTCCAACTACTTCCACAGCAACAATATGTACTTAATCAGGAAAATGGGCAGCTAATACCTATAGTGCAGCCTGGTGTACAAGTATCTAATACAAATTTTACTTCTCTGCCTTTAGCACAACACTTAGGTTTACAACAACCAAATTTTGGAACACAATTAGTTGATTTATCTAGTATGCAACCTGTTAATGTGACACAGCTACGTTTGAGTGGGGTACCGTCTTCCATGTCTATGATTCTTCCTAATGGGTTGACATTTCCACAAGCTAATCTGACTTCTGCTGATACAACCACTGTCAACTCGGCGAGCACTCCAGTTGTGTGTGCAGCTCAAAGTACAAATGCATCACAGAAGATCTTGTACAGTACTGATAAAGGAGACAAAGAAGTAAAATATCACATACAAGGGGCAGAAACAGTTCAATGGGCTATGCCTGGTTCACAGACTATGCTCATACCATACCAGCAGTTACAAGACTTGACCTCAGGACAAACTAGTTTAACTAATTTACAACCTCAACAATTTGTTTCTGTGAGTATAGAAAACAATTTGAAATATAATATTAATTGATATTGCTTAGGACATAAAATTGATATTCTATTTCAGATTGCTCCAGCAGGTAGTCTTCCACAAACATCACTACCACTCACGGCAGCTCAGTTGCAGCAGTTACAAACTGGCACTATTATGCAGCTTAATCAAAAGGTATTGTTGATTTATTGCTCTTTATGTTAGCATGCTGATTTAATTTTGAATAAGCTATACACTGATGGAATGAAATTTGTTTCCCAATGTTTCAATAAAATTTATTGAAATATTTGGAAGCAAATTTTAATAATCAATAGAAAAAAAATGTGAGATAGAATTGTGGATAATACAAATTCTTTTCTAATCTTATGAACATATTTAAAATAAACAATATTTTAAAATTTGTAATTACTAGTAACAGTAGTTATAAGTAATACCTTTAAATTCTAAGGTGACTTTTATGGTTTTCTCAGCCCATAGTGAGCAGTGGTTCTCTTATAAATATAATATCAACTGGACAAGCATCTTCACCACAGACAATTGCAGTGAGCATCACAATTAGAAATATGTTCTGTCACTGTTCAGTTTTTCTAATTATTTGTTCTCGTCTTCTTTGCAGTTCAGCTATGCTAACCTATTGTATTTCATTTTATACACAAATTCTTGTACTATCACATCATTTCACTTCTGCTTTTCATTATTTTGATAATGTGGTGTTTGTTTCATATACCCTGGTGGTAGTTTATATCCCTTCTGAGGTTTTAATTGTTCTCTGCTTTGTTACTTATTTAAAATATTTCATTAATCAGTGGTGGATTTCTTTTCATGTCTTCACTAATAATCTAGAAGCTACAATTAATGTTGAGACTTTTATTTAAATATATAAACTTAAGGTTTTTTTATGTCTTTCAGAGTTCATCCACTCCTACCAAAAATGTATCTAACCAAGAAAGTCGTGGACAGAAACGTTTGTCTGATGGCACCCCAAGTCAGCTGCAATTGAGACCCATCGCTCCGGCTGGGTAAGAGTTATCTAATTAAGTAAACTTTAAATTATAACTAGTAAATCTAATTTATATTTCTTTCAGAGGTGATGAAAAGAAAAATATTTTTAATGACACCACTTTATTTGAATTGGTTCATTTTAAATGATTTTCTTATCACATGATGCTGTATGTAGAAATAACAAACAACAAAAGAATTTTTTCTATTACCAATTATCACAACACAAGCAATTGGCGTTACTACAAATGTTGTTATTTCTGCATTTATTATTAAGTTCCTGAGAAACCTATCAAGATAATACATTCCACAGGAAACCATAGATTATAAACTCCTCAAGTAACTGTAAATTTTATCACCAAAATAGTTAAGTATATGATAAAGTTGTTGACCTGTTAAATTTTAAAATAAGTTACTTTTATTTGTTTAAAATATTACTATTGCAGTTAGATTTTTTTTTATATTAGTCAATGATGGTGATAAAATTTATACAAAATGCTTGTTCAGCCATCACAATGCCTCCAGTAAATGGCCATCTTTACAAAATACAAGCAATAGAACAAAAATCGAAGATGGTTCACACTGCAAGACGATGCTACACGAATAATGTTTTACTGTATGACATTAAAAGATGTTAATTGAACTCGTTTGAAGTGAAATTGTAACGGTGTGATGTCGCAGGTCTCATGTAAGCCAGGACAAGAGCACTTCCAGAGATGCCCGAAGTTGGACCAGCGCCGCAGGTATATTGAAGACTGCCGTGAAACTTTCATAAGTAACTGCGACAAACTATTTACTTAAAAATTTTAAGAATTCTATAAATCTGAACAAATTAAGTAATGGCCAAAAATTTTAATTTATCGGTTATGTATATAATTTTAGTTATTAATAAGTAGTTAATAATCTTAAACACAACAGTTTGGTTTGTAATAGTGAGTAATGACAATACTCAGAAATGACAATTTTATTAAACATTTGTCTTATTCTTGGCTAATGCTCAGACAGTGACGGTAGCAACTAATTATTCAAACTTCAAAATTGTTGATTCAGGCGTCTTTTTTCGGCGAGATCCTGGGTGTATTCTGTAATATATACCAGTATACTGGCCAGTGCTAATGACGTCATGGTATAGGTATATGTAAATTAAACATTACAAGATAATACTTTTAATATAGTTTGTCACAGTTACGAACTTGATGTTGTCTGCTAATTATCATATTATTATAAAGTGACTGCGTAATTTATAAAGTTGTTAATTGTTTATGTCCAAATCCCTTTCTCAAAGTCGTTTCTATGTTTCAACCCTTTTTTAAATTCAATTATATTTTAGTTACATGTTTATACTCATTACAGTTTTTAGTGATTTATTACAACATTTTAAGTTAATTCTTGAGACGACAAACACATATTATACAAATATAAAGATAAATCTGAAGCAGCGAAACATTATGAAACAGCAAAAAAAGTATTTTCTAATTGCGTAACAATTAGCGTGTTAGCCACACAGATCAGCGTATTTCTTTCAGGATATCTGATGATGTTTAACGTCTGATAAAGCTTCATTCGTTTTCTTCTGCATTGTGCAAGAAAAACTAAATTGTTTCTTCTCAGAAATTTTAAGGAATGCTAGTGGATTGCGTTTAAGGCGTAGAATTTAAAAATAGCGCTAAAACTTTTTGTATTCAAATGATGGGTAGAGTATTTTTGAATCGTATAAACTGTGCATTTATTAACCTATAAAACTGCATAATATAACCATTGCATGAGCGTTGTTAATATACGTAGGCTTTAATAAATAACTTCTTTTTGCTATAAGTATTGTCTCATCGGGTCTTCTGGCTGTCCTATGAAGAAGCTGAGTGCTTTCGGGAAGAAAAAAGTTGGTGACTACATAGTAGGCAATCTTTTTCACAGCTATCCTGCGTTGGCTGATTTCGTCGTACCTTGCATGTTTGCGTAATTTGCGTAAAAAAGTAAAAGCTGTTTGCGTAAAAATGCACTTGCCAAGCGTTAAGCTTAAACACATACATTAATTTCTGATTTTTAAAGCACGTATTGTAGCGTTTTTATTACTTGGAAGCGTAAATGTTTGAAAAAAAGAAAAAATAAGGCTACTATTAATTTCGCGTAAATAATGTTGTTTTCTTGAGCAGTTCGTAGTTTAGACTATTTTTTACAGAAAGTGAGGCATGGAGATGCATCGTCGTAGCTGATTCAAAGGATGAGTTTGGCGATATTCTTTGACACGTCATCATGTAGTTTATAATATCTAGTATTGCAGCGTAACTCAACAAAGGATTGCATGATTTTAATCCTAGGTTTCTCTTAGCGAAAGCATGATTCGTTCCAGTCGACAGAAACGGACAACCCGGAACAGGAAGTTGCAGAGGATTGTGCAGGACTTCTCTTTGTCTCACTCTCTCTCTTTGTTATATTGTCAATACAGGACCAGACGAGACGGAAAAGGACACCAACTCCATCGAATAGCGCTTGCATAAAGTATTAGTATTGCGTAGTTGGCATTGCGGTGCATAGTAATACACTATACTATATTAATGGTTTGCTTCTATTTACAGCTAGGGACAACACCGTGGTTAGCATGGGAATGAAAATTAATCCTGCTCATGGGACCATAATCCACGTGTCGTCCGGACAACAGACAAAGTAAGCAAATTTACTAATGAAATACACACACAAGAGCAAAGTAATGATATTCTTATAATTCCCTAATTTCTTTTTAGTGTGTCGGCGTCAGGGGTCACTCATGATGGCACCGGAATGTACATTCGACAAATTGACCGAAACGCTATTCAGATCCAAACCAGCAAAGATGGTCAGAAGCAAGATTTGTCTGCGAACAAAGTTCAGAGCACGGCACAAAATGTGCAGATGATTACTGTGCCTCAAGGCATGACTGTTCTTCAAAACCCGTTAAACATCAGCCAAATGCCGACTATGCTCGGTCAACACAATAGCCAAGTTTATATGATACCTACCAATGCCCAAAATCTTGTTCAAGGAGGATTACCTCCAGGCTTAATGGGACAGCAAGTTTTGCAACCTGGGCAGAATGTAACAGTAATGCAACCGAACCAGTTAGGAATGCCGGGCGGGGTCCAATACAACGTGCCGTTGATGTCGATGAATATGCCCGCGAATTCGCAGTACATGCCAGCCGGCATCAACTTGAATACACAATTGTCGGCACAACAGCTAAATGCGGCGTTAGCTGGTCAACAGCTCAACCAAAACTTAGCAGTGTCTGGGGCGATACCGATCGTGCAAGCACCGCCTCCCTCCTCACCGATGACGAATCAAGCTCAAAGTATATCGGTGTCGCAAACTCCTTCAGTCCATCAGTTAGTGCAACAGAACTCATTCGTGACACCGACAAGCCAGTACGCTAGCATGCCGCCACAGTATATGATGCAAACTAATTCTGGCGCTTTAACAGTCCCAACGAACAATCCAAATGTGCAATACTCGTTACCGAACACGCAGACCACTAATCCGACGGCAGGTAATGGCAACGGACAGTCGAACACGTCCAGCGATACGGACACTACTAATGGAACTACCAGTCAGACCAATTACATCACGTCTTCGTCGCAAGAAACCTATCCTCTGACTGGTTCAACATCAGTGCAGAATGCTCAACAAACATTCACAGCGGATGGTTCGACGAACCAAACGGCAGGCTTTACGCCGGGAAGTCAGACGGCAACGCCGCCAAACTTCGCGGCTTCCAACGGCAGCAACCAATCGAGCTACAGCGTGAGCCAAACGTCAACCACCCAACCGCCGCCGAACTATAATCCGAACGGCAGCAACGGTACTAACCAGACGACCAATCAGAGTTACGGGGCGGCATCCACTCCTAATTCTCAGAACAATACGCAAACCAATTTCTCCCCGTCGACAACGCCAGCTCCGAATCAGTCGTATGCCACGACAAATCTTCCGAGTATGCCGAACGTGGGATACCCACCGAGTCAGAATTCTCAGAACCCATATCCTAATGCGACGGGGCAAAACTTGGCAGCTTACGCGAACAATCAGTACCAGTACACGAGTAGGCCTTGGTTCAGGCCGCGGTACGGCTCCCCTCAGGGCTCGCCCTACAGCTCGGGCTCCGGGCCCCCGAACGGGCCGCCCATGCCTGTCCCTCCACCTTCGGGCAACTATAACTACTGGCAGGACAGTTGAGACTTCTACAACATCGTCGATATGGATGACATCCAATGACGATGACAATTCCAGATTCAATGATAAATGAAGTATTGTCTAAGCGTAACTACTTATAGATTTTTATAATTATTGACTAGTATCGATTTAGGATAAAAGAGACTGCTTTAAAGATACATTTATGAAATGTAAAAAGTATAGATAAAAATTACTAATTATAAAATTATACCTACATCACAACCTAGTTTTTTCTTTATGTAGCCAATACCTACCTATGCTCCGTCCGAGCCTTCGAGTCAAAAAATGCTTGTACTACGTAATTCAAATTTATCTCGGGATGATTTGATAAATCTAATTTTCCGGAAAATCCTACGGATTATAGTAATATATGTTATTTACAGAATTGCTAACACATTGCTTGCTGTTTTTAGCGAGTTAACGATATTTCTGCACTGTTGATCAGCAACATGGCGCTTGCAACAGTGCCGAAATATCGTTAACTCGCTAAAAACAAAGTGCATGGTAAATAACATAACTTACTATAATGTTAGTAACCATGAAAGTATAAAACAATAAATCCTAGGGATTTTGCATTGATGATTTCAGAACATGTGCATAGTTTGTTAGATAGGTACAATTACCTATCTAACAAACTATGGACATGTTCTGAAAATAAATGATATTATTATTATTTGATTAAGCAATGTCATCAAATAATGTCTAGACATTTACATCGTACAATTGATCTAAATAAGAAAAAAAAACATTATTTTTGGGAAGAACGATTCTTTAGATTACAGGACACGATTTAACTGAGTATTAGCGTGGCGTAGTGGGCTTAATACCCCAAAGGAAAACCACAGCGCGTGAAAAAGATTATAATAGTACCTTTTTCGTGATTTTCGTGTTTAATTTGACGTTTTATTATGACATGTCATAATTTGATTGATTTGTCACCTAAGTCGTAAGTCGCGCGTGATTTTTATAGAGTAGGTACTAAATTTGTGAAAAACTCTTAAGAAAATGAACCCCGAGAATCGTTACCCAGTGACCGCCTCAATGTTCATGTTGCGGGAGATAAAGCATCGACAGGAGCAAGTCCAGCGCGGCTACCAGCTGCTCAGACGCAAGGCTGAGGCGTTGAGGCTGCGCGGGAGACAGGCTACAGCAGAACTGACGTCTACGCAGGCCATATTGAGCCACACACTGAGGGAGGCATATATATCCCTGGCCGCTGTGAAGTTCACCAACGGCGAGTCTAACGCATTAGTTCTAGAGAATATAGGCGAGGTAGATTCGCAGTTTCACGTATTTTAACGAACTATTAATGTCTTCACTGCAGGGAGCAGCGATAAATAATCTTTGGATAAATGTGATTCCTGTAGGGCTATAGGAAGTATAGGACGTTAGCAGTTACCTACCAATTAGAGCAAAAGCGGATTGTTCAGTGCTAGACAGGCTAATAACACAACCGGTGGCCGCAACGACAGCGCGTATTTTGCAAAAAACGGCAAATCCCGGTATTTGTCCTAATTCTTCTTCCACACCTGTGCGTCGAAGTTTCAGGTGGTTTTAGTACTAAATGGGCTAAAATTAGCGTTCGAAATTTGAATTAGTTCTGTCATTAAGGATTACTGAGCTGTAAATAAATAGCCATGGTCCATTCAACCGGACCACGGTAATATTATGACCGGACTATCTCAAATGTACCACGGGCAATGCACGTACTTTACGAGCTGCATGTAGACCATAGCTTGACTGTCGATAATTTTACAGGCTATAACAGTTGTGGGAGAAGATTTGTATGTAGGGTTGAAGAAGTAGGTACTTAATTTAAAGTTCGAAAGTTGGTTTTAGCGCATTTTGGTACCAAAACACATACAACACCTCAGACCAGTCTTTCGCAGTGGGCACTTTGGGCAAGTGCTCAGGGCCCCGCGATCGATAGGGCCCTCAGATCAAATACAAAGTCCCTAGTTCCTATTAAATCACCTAACGGAAGTCATAGGGGCCCCAATATCCTTATATGCCCAGGGCCTCCAGTAGGTCAAAGACGGCACTGCAACACCTACTCCTTAGCAAATTTACCAATTCCTATTTTTTTCCTACAAGGCGCAAGTAAGGGTTCAACGTGTCCCAGAAAATATATCTGGTGTAGCGACAATGTCTCTTCTACCTCTCGAAGACGTAACGGCGAGTGATACTCTGCGCTACGCCGGTCTTGGCGCTGGCGGCCATCGCACCAGTGAGGCAAAGAAAGCATTCCGTGAGGCAGTACACATACTGATCAAGTTTGCATCCTTGAGGAACACCTGTATATTACTTGATGACGCTATACGGTCTACTCTCAGGTATCAACTTCAATTTAAATGTGTAGGTAGAATATAAACTGCTAGGTGTACCCACTTTCTCTGGATTTCATTTCTTATTTCGAAGTCTTGTCTGCCGTCGCGTTAATTAGTTTATTTTTATTACAGAAAAGTTAACGGCATTGAAAAGATTATCATGCCAAAACTACGTAACACTGAACATTACATTTTAATGGAAATGGGTGAAAGGGTACGTATAATAATTGCTGCATTATATTTGTCTCCAATATCCCTACCTCATAGCAACAATGAGTCGTTTTACTTACCTGGTACTAATACGAAGATCTAGATTTCCATTTTTGTAATTAGCTGAATGTACAGAAAATTAGTTATTTGTTAACAGGAGAGAGAAGAATTCCATCGATTGAAAATGTTGAAAGCCAAGAAGACGCGATCAAAAACTTCCTCTACGCGACCTTCCCGTCACGGAGAGGATATTGATGAAAGTAGTGGTAAAATCATATTTATATATGGAGTGGACGATGATTACTATCAAATGTTTTTAAGTAACCATAGATTTGATTACCAAGTAGTCAATCCTATTACTGATATGGTTGTTTTTTCCATCTTACAGATAAGTCTAGGTCCAGCTCTCCTCCGTCGTCACGCATCCGATCTCTGGAATGCCTTACCAACGTCATGTATCCTTGCTCAATAGCATTTTCTTCTACTACTGACTCCATTGGGGACTATCAACCAATCTGCTACCCCCACAATTGGGATGATGATGACTTGCTCTTCTAATTTAAATGACAAATTGCCTACTTATTATAGTGATGAATACGATTGAAATAATAAACACTCATTTTATCTCATCTTTTATTTAAGTACTAAATAGGTGATGTAGAAAGTTGTTAGTACGTTATTTAAAAAAGTAGGTAGCTGATAAAATACCTACTCAAATATGTGTAGAAATATTCACAAAACCCAACCATTGTCCATTCTTTCTTCCATAGGTTTCGTAAAGTATTGACATCTACGAAACTTCTCCAATATTTCTCCCTAAAAATAAAAATAAATAAAATAAAGGTAAGTATAAATAAACAAAATGCGTCGTGTGATGGTGGATGTGATATTTATATTATTATTAAAATCTAAGAATATACAAATCACTTGTCATGTGCCTAAGTAATTCCTTTTTTGACCCGGAGTAATGCGTTACGCATACCCCACCGCTGAGTAAGGCAACGAGGTTATGTATGTGGGACTTCACCCTCGACCTCACGCCCACCCACACCCACCTTACCTCGGTTAGCCAGCTAGAGGAAATGAATAGTATCCTCAACGATAATTCAGAGGAGATATCATATTTGCAGAAAAGTTAGGAAGCTATAATAATTGAAATACGTACGGGTCCAGTTTTTTTTATTGCCTCGCTGTAGTAAGTGATGGCGCTGGAACCAGTTCCGTACAAGGGGTATTTCAGGTGCATCTGTTGAAAAGTGAAGATAGATACCATTAGCAAATATTGAGAATCCGCTGGTCTTGATGAAGAAGAACAAAAAATCTAATAGGTATCTAAATAGTTGAATATACAGTTTATGTAACTATAAATTAATGTTATTAAAATGAGGGGTCATCATATAAGTACTTAATTATTTTATTTAAAATTGAATTTTCAATGATGCCCCCAAACCACGCCACGTCACAAAAATGCCTATTATAGAGGCGCATTAGGAATTTGTGGGACCTATACTAACATTTTTATCTGCTGTAATCTCTAGGTTGCGAGGTTCAAACTGATCTTTCATGTAATTCGCGTCATACTCCGAACAGTACTCGACAACCGGCTGAGAGGTTGCCAATTCCTCGATGACCTCGTCCAGCATTTGTTCCCAAAAGAAATCTGTGAGCATCCTCTTGCGAATACCTATAACATTAAAAACTAATCGTGGTTTCTAGCAATAACATCGACATACTTAAATGTTGATGTATTTCACATTATGTAATGAAAGGTGACTTCGCGAATCACCTCTGAAGCCTTTTTTTCAACTTGACGACTCTGTGAATAAAAATACAGGGAGAAAACAATTGTCCTTGCTGAGTTTCTTGCCGGTTCTTCTTAGTGCAAGGTCTCCCGCCGTAGATTTACGAACCGATGGCGTAGCTTCTAGACATTCGTGAGTGCTTGTATTGTAACAGCCTAAACTGAATAAATAAATTAAGAAACGAGTTAAACTAGACTACAGATGACGTTGCCGTTGTAAGTACGTTTCGTTAGTGGGAGCTCGATGGTACAAGTAACTAGGCACTTGCACCATCGCGCTCCACACGAACGCTTCCAGTCTGCGATCGTGACTTTAGCAAAGGCCTTAGGATAGGTGACTAAAAAAAATATTATCTCGAGGTCCTTCGTGCTTTGGAAGGCCAGCCGTTGGTACCGGGTGCGTCTGCAATCGTTAAAGGCCTATTAGACTACACAATTTTAAGGAACCCGATCTACGCCCTAACAATCGGTTAGCTATTTCACTTAGGCAGCTCAGTGGACGCCCTGAGAGCGTATAGTACCTACGAATGTTTTTGTAGTCAAATTAGTTTATTGGCGCAATGGCATCTTATGAAGAAAAAGAAGTGTTACTTAACTTAAATTGAGATTTAAAGTTTTGTAGGAAAAATAAATAACTATTTAAATAATCAGCAAAAAAATGTTATTGATCCTCAAAAACCTAAAGGTTACCAATTGTTTTTATTTTTGTAAGAACTTTAAAAGCTTTTGATGATCATATAAATATTTCCCTTTAAATAAAGAGAAAAGTGCCCAAGCATTTAGAGAAGTTTATAAAAATTTGATCAGAATTCATCGGGTGCCATAACGACAACGTTCAACCGAGACGACTTTTACTTTTAGACTGAGTTAGGGTCCGATTGATAGGGCGTTGTAACAATTGCTACCCCAGCTAAGGGACACGCCCACCCTTTCGATTGGGCCCTTAAAATTGGATAGTGTAATAGCCGTTTTAGCATCCATCCCCACCAATTCGCACGGGGCCCGCATGGCCCCAGGGAGGGCCTGTGTCTCAGTAGTGCGGCAATTAATAGGCTGATGTGATGATTTCTTCTATTTGAACGACCAATGTTATGTATAATAACGAAATACTGCACGTGCAAAATTGATATAATGCCAAACATAGCATATGTAGTCACTGATTCGGATAGTGCTGAAATTACCTTCACCATGTTTAGATTTCTTAGGCACTTTATAACTATTGCGCATTTCACTGCCTTTCGCAGGAGCCTCGCGCCCGTCTTGTAATATCCAATCTCTACTATAATTCTTTCCTTTTCCATATGCGGATGGTTCGATTGGTACTTTAGGGTTAAGCTTCACTCGCTCTAAAGGTCGTATTTTTATTTGCTCCTCTTCTTCGTCAAGCTCTGGAAGGTCCGCTTGAACTCCATCATCAACGGAGTAACTTGTCATTGCTTTTATTGTTAACAACTCTTTTCTTTATCAACAATGTTTCTGTTAGTAATTATTATGTTTAATATAGGTAGCTACTTATATTTTTAAAAAATCTCAAACTCCTCCAAGGTAAATGAAAATGACGTTGCCATGGGAACTGACATTTATTGATAAACCATAAATCATGAATAATTCATGAAATGGAATAATCACGATCATAGATAAATTTAAAAAATAAAGAATCTTTATTTCTTTTTACTATGATTATTTTATTCAGAAAAGTAATAGTAAACACTATATTCTTAATCCGAAAGATGATCATTACAAGGAAGGTGGTGATGTGGATGTGGCCATATCAAGTGTTTGCGAGCATAACAGCGTGCGCTGTGTTAAGCGGGAGCACGGAGCGGGCGTCCGCTCGGCGTGCAGTTTTTATGTATTTTCATAGAACAGCCGCTATCGTGTGACAGAGACGTTTACCTGTACTGTTAGCACCAGTATTGAATTTGAATAGTTTGCGAGTGCGAAATTTCATTGTCTAAAGTGTAGTACTAATTTTTAGTTCTCGTAACGTACGTTATGGCGCTGCTGTTCAAGTTTCCAAATAAAATTTGACAATGAAATTGCGCGGTCTTAAGTAAAAGCGCTCTTCATGTTAATAGCATGTACGGACGATCAGTGAAAAATTCAGAGTAAAAAAAAAACAAGCCATAGCTTCAAAAACCGTTTATATATCTACAAAAACATGATATGCTGACTCTATAATGTTACATTATATGAAAAAATATTATCTTTATTCTCTGCTTTACAATTTATGTACTAGTTATTATATACCTAATTATTATATATTTTCGACAGCATTCAGAAACGTCAATTAACCTTATGGATTGATTAAAGTTCGTCATTTTCTTTGGGACAGTCTTAAGGCAGAGGTTCTCAAACTTGTTTGGTCTACCGTCCACTTTGAGAATCAAATGTTTTCTAGTTGTACTTAATTGACTTTGCCACGTTTTTAAATTCACATAATTATTAAAGGCTTGTTAAACTATGTACAATTTTAAATAATTGATGTAGAACAATAGGAAAGTTTTAAAAAATATTTAATGTGTTAGAAAAAACACCAGCCATCGACATTCGAAACCGTGTCAACTTATCAGCAATCACATCTCCAGCCTATTAATGTCCCACTGCTGGGGCACAGGCTTTCCTTATGGATGGAATAGGGAGATTGGGTCATGACCCACCACGCGGGCCCAGTGCGCATTGGTAGGTGCTAACGACTGCAGATGCAGCCGGGACCAACGGCTTAAAGTGCCTTCCGAAGCACGGAGCTCGAGATAGTAAATTTTTGGTCACCTATCCAATGACCGACCACTGCGAAAGTTGCATAATAATAAAAATAATAATAATAAGTATCTAATTTTCTTTTCTTGTAGGCTTCTAGTATCCTACAAGATTAAAGGAAATTAGGGAAAGCAAAAGATATTAAGAAGATTACAACACACCATTTTATTTTGAAAAGCATTGAATTTAATTGACGTTTCTGAGTGCGGCAATTATAGTTGCAACGTCTTAAATTTCTTTAAATATTTGTCATGTTTTCTCACTTTAGTACAGATCTTTTTCATGTTGTCATTGAAATGTTACAAAGCAGTTAGTAAATAACATTATAAACATTATACATAACTAACAAAACAGATGCCACGTCAATACCTTTGATTATTTACTCTCTAGATAGAGTGTCACCTAGTAAACACTGCGATAAAAAACAGACCAGGTTTTATGTATTTGTTTGCGTGATGTGCAAACCAAAACACACGAATCTTGTAACACTCGTGAAATGTCAACGAAACGATTATGTCATTATTTTAGTCTCGGTGCGCATGCGTAAGTTACCAGGATAGGCCACATTCCCCAAAAAGTGGGTAATCTTAATCAAATCAATATTAGTTTATTATTCACATAATTAAAAATCGTAGACGTTGTAACATCTGTAAAACGCATAAATTTATACTGGGATATTTTAAATAAAAAATATTAGTTACAATTTTTGGAATTTACTCCTTAAGAATCGATTTGCATATACATATAAGGGGCCCGGTATGAGAAAAATGTGAGGAGTAAAATCTATCGATGAATGACCTCGTTACGTTTTTGGTGCGCATCCTATGTCGCACAACTTTGACAAACAAAGATGACGGATTGACATTATTTTTTTTTTTAAATCTGAACTGAATTTAGATAATGTTTCTGATAGAGCACTGGAGACAACGAGGTATGGTACAACCATTGATGCGGTATTTTCAAGATTCGTGAACCACGTATCTACGAACGTCCATGTGTCTTATTTTAGTTACCATAAACCACTTGTCACTGTAATTAATAATGCAATGTTGATTTAATTAATATTAAAAAAAATGATAATAGTCTGATAATATTAATTACATAATTTATCAACATTCCTAATGATATATTTACGCACATCTGAAATTGACTATTGTAAAAAGTTTAATGTAAAATTTTCGTCGATTAGTTATAATAAATGTATATGAAATGAATAAATATATACATATTTATATATGTATATTATTTTCATTAATTTGTTAATTTACCCTTTCATACAGTATCAATCTTTTTTTAAGTTAAATAAACTCTTTTTGCGTCTGGTTAGACTATCGAACTTAAGGAGTTAACTCCAGTCGTGCGTCGGAGCTGACACACACAATGTTTTTTATTTAGTTTTACTAAAATAATAATAGCCATGATAATATAGTAACAAACAAAATGGACCTATTTGTCATGTTATGATGTTTAAGGCCTTGAATTTAGTAGTTTAATATTATTTATCTTTAAAATTTGATATTTTATACAATACATACCTCTGTGACGCAAAAACTTTTGTGTTACGATTATTTTAATTAATTATTTCATTAAAATGATCTGAGCACATAACCGTAGTTTTTGCTGGTTGCCAGAAATCTTCTCCACAACTTTTTATTATGACGTCCACCCACCGACTTTTCATTATGGGATCGTTAGGTAGTCGGGAAATACAGGACTTTGTAAACAAAAAAACAGAGCAACCTCCAACGGCTTAAACCTCCCTTTGCATATTTCGACAGTTAGTCAAAAATAAATTCATTTGTATTTGAAATTATGTAGCAGTGGAAAACTGCTTGAAAATCCGTTAGGCTGCCTTGAAGTTATAATTTCCAATTTCAGGGGTGAAGACGCGACTTTTATCTATTGTTAACTACTTTAGTTCTTACAATTAAAAATGAAGTGTGGTACGAACATGGTCATAGAATATAAACAAAATCGAGTACTATTAAAAATTACATTACTGAAAATTTACCTTGACCTTGAATAATCGGTTTAATATTTAGTGTGGATTATGAACCACTTTGAATAGTCCTATGAAACAATAAAATGAAATAATAGATAGGTGAACAACAAATCTTTTTCGTCATGTTAGTTATGTAGAAATTGGATATGGATAGATGAAACAGGTGAGTTTTTGAACTCCACAACTTTCACAAGTGACATTATCAACACTAAAGGTAGTGTACTTTTAACTTTATTTAAAATAAGTTATGGTCGTCCTATTAGAAAAAAAAGGTTTCTATTCTATATCTCTCACTCGTCCCGTTTCATCGGTAAAAATACTCAGTCTTAGTTTTATAGTATGCCAATGGGTACGAGAATCTGAAGCTCTTTTTTAAATTTTTCTAAAAATCGATTAAATAAAGTGATATTACTTTCAGTTTTCAAGACAATAAATTTATATTGATATAAAAAAAACTTTTGTACTTTTTGGGGAATTTTATAATGAGACACTGACATCACTTTGAAAATGTCAAGATGGAGTCGTAATTTTTTTAATAAATATGATGATATAGTTTTATTGTTTAAAGGTGAATAATGAGTTACTTAAGTCGGTGTAAGTGACTTTGTTTTTTAATTTCGGCAAACTTTTATTGCGTATCTAGGCATTTCAAAGCAATAATTTTAACACGAAACTCTGTAAATGACGTGCGTCTCGCTCAGCGTTACATTGAATACTAAGTGACGGGAAACGAATTAGAGTCTAGCTGTTGGCTAATATTTTTTTCAATGTCATCTGCGCTGCCACGCTCTAGGAGTAAATAATCAAAGGTCAATACAAACACCTCAGGTGGGGAACAAACATTCAAAATATGTATTCATACCATATTAACATGTACTTAATACTTTCACTATTCACTTAGCCTACAACATCACTCGAATAACTTTTAATGTTCTAAAAATACATGATGGTTCCTGGCGACTAATATCATTTACTTTTCATTCACAGGAAGATGATTTTTTTAAGCTCAAAACAGTTATATAATCTATTTAAGTCAACGATTTAGTTAAATATTTAAGTACAGCACTAGTAAGAGTAATTTAACGGTAATACGGCTTAATTTATATAAGTAAGTCTATGAAAAGTAAATGAATACGACATACCATTTTAGACTAGAAGATCAATTTTTAATGCCTATGTTATTATTTTTTGAATCGAGCAAAATAAGGACGGAGATTACACTCCAAGCTCGTAATTATTATCACTTTACAATAGAAACGTATGTAATGAGTAAAATTTGTGAACAATATCTATAATTTTGAGTTACCATAGAAAAAATATAGTGCATTTGATTATAATATGTAATAGCTTATACCCTGAGTCCAAAATTCAATATACTCATATATCTCCAATATCAATACAGTTCTTCTTTATCATACCTTTATGTTGCTGCTGCTTTTAAATGAGGTAGATGATTATGGGAAAAACTAACATTTGTAAATTACTTCTGAACTCATATGATTTTGCACTAAGGTGGTGGCACCAATGACCGACATTCTCTTCTGTTATCAATGAAAATAAGAGTAGGCAACCTACCAATAAATATGTTACCACCGAGCGTCTTTGGCAATATACCATATATATATATATATATATATACGTGTATAGTGATCAGCCATCCACTCCCACTTTCACAGAAAAAAAAACAATCACTGGCTAGCACAAATTTTAAGGGAATATAACTACAACGTTTTGCTACATAATTTTCTAAATGAACCATTTCAAAATATTTATAATGTACAAAAACGTGTGAAATGTAGTGTCAATGTTGCCTGTATTGTCCAAAATTACCCCACATTTACATTCTGGCACTGAATTTTGAACACATTAGTTGCACACGTGTACCCACCCCATACATTAATTAAATAAGAAGCCACATTTGGCACTTGTTTATAATCACAAATACATTAATCAATAAATCAGAAGACGTCTGTTGTGATAATGTACTTAGCTCGAATTGGAATTATTATGCTCGACAAGTTAATACTTACTTGATTCTATGAACTAAATAACAAATAACTTATATACTATTAATGGTAAAAATTCAATCAAGTAACAAACAATGTTAGTTAGCTTTAGAAAGAGATGATTTGTTAGTGTTATTTTTTTAAAACGTAATAGCCTGACTCTAATAAAATTAACAATTTGAACTCCATATTCGAAATATTGTTTATTTTACAAATTAATATATTAAATCATCACAATCGTCATAGTGATAAACTACTTATAGCGCATATCAAAACGAAAGGATTTTTATAAAACCTAATAATATAATAAAAGGTACGTTATCATATAAAAAACAAATCAAACATCAGACTGTTAAACATAACCCGACGGTTCAACTACAATTATACATTTCCGGACACATCTTGACGGTCCCCAGCTAAAAATAAATGTTACATAGAGCAAAAAGTTATTACTTACGCAGTTTTGAAGCTGAATTATTTATTAACCAACCATCTTTTCGTGTTTTTTTTTATGTATAACATCTTTCCTCTCGCTTTCCTGCAATATGTGGGAGTGATTTCGTGAAATGGGACAGAAGTGCGTAACAAGAAGTCGCGAAAGCGCGCGCTATTTGATTTGATTTAAGAATTTTTAATTAATAATAACAATATTTTTTAATGTTCCAATGACTTATTCCTTTTGTAGTAGGTTTTATTTCTATTTTTACTAATATAAGGTGAGGTTTCAAATGTTACACATCATACGCAACTACTGTTAGGCTAGCTCGTTTTTTTTTAATTTTTGCTCAAACATAAACGTATATTTTGCTACAGACCGTTTAAACTTATAACACTTAGTGGGCCGATAGATGTGTCCGGAAGTATATTTTCATATAAAAACGACAATAATATAATTTACCATGTAAAGTACTAAAAATACAAAGCATATTTTGCCTGAAGACTAATGAACAAAGATCAAAAGTAAAGTACATATTTTGATTATGTAAATATCGTCACTTAGAAAAAGTTATACAGTTTGATAATTATATTATAAGCAGAACTGCCGTTTACCAGATAAAATATCTAATATATTACAACATTTGCTTGTAATTTTGCTGCAGCAGTGCATGGAAGTACACATTTTATGACAATATAATATAATTTTAAATTATTTATTTGAGATCTATCTGAAGGGATGCATACATACATACATTATTAGCACAGTAAACATAATTATTTAATCCCTATGGATTGACGCCTAACAAGTAGGGTGACCAACTATCCCGATTTTATCGAAAAATATTTTTTTCTTAAGTATATTTGAAGATGGATCGCCTATTGATTCCCAAACTTTCAGAATCTCTTTATAGACCCATTTAGTATCTAATGTAACTATACCTTTATGTTTAAAAGCGAGTCTTTAGCTTAGCGTCTGTTGGTTCTAAAGTAAACTGAGCCCCTTTTAAACTTTCTACTGTTAGTTATTTTCATCACATTTTTTAAAGGTTATCGTTTATTGATGTTACTTAAGCGGCAAACTTCATGAGCAACGACCATAGACAAGGAAGCCTGGGCAGTATCAGCTTTGCATATAAAAATGTCTACTGCGCAAATTTATTTGTCTGTAGTTTTGCTCTTAAAGTTTACCGCCACCTGTATTTACGTTTATTCAGAGTTGAATTTTGTCTTACCTAGCTTAGCATCTGTGAGTTTCAGATACAGTTTCTATTGCACCACTTAGGCCCGCTCGCAGCAAATTTGTTAAATCTCAATTCAACTAAATCTAGCCTTATCTTATCCCATAGAAAAATGTCAAATTGACATCAATGTATGTTAGGCTAAATCTAGTTGTAGTTTAATTGAGATTTAGCAAAATTACTGCAAGTGGACCTTAAACTCTTTATTGATGTATTTCTAAAAAAATATCATTTTTGTTGGTTCTAGGTGTTGCCTTAACCAGTTCACATAAACACTTATATTGTTCATGTTAAACCTTTCGTTCCTTTGTGATGTTTTAAAGTTTTAGCATTTTTGTTGGTGGGATATTATTGAAGTCTTGCGCACCTCGAGCAGTAATCGTTGTTCTCTGGACTGCCGTAGTACATGCAGAGGGGAGCGCGACAAGGCTTCGGCGATGGGGGGCGGTCGTCGTAGAAAGTCGATCTGTGGTACAGACGAGTAACGTTAATTAGCTTTGGGGCTGTCCATTAATCACAAGACTCTAAAGGTCCATACAAAAACACGAAATGTAGTATGTAGGAGGAAGTGGGGTGTAGTAAAACATCTTATCTTATTTCATTATTTTTATGTCAGTCAAAATCAATGGATGATACTTGTACCTGTATTTTATAAATATTAAAAAAAAAAGATTCTTTGTAGGTAAATAGTAAAATTCGTGTGATACAGGGACAGGGGAGGGGGGGGGGGGTCTTAACCCTCACCACGTATCACCATGGGGGAGGAGGGGTTTAAAAAAGCCAAAAAAAACATCACCAAACCGCGCTGGGTCCGTTAGCACCCACCAATCCGCACTGGGTCCGTTATCACCCACCAATCCGCGATGGGTCCGTTATCACCCACCAAGCACTAGATTCATATATTATGTGAAGGGTATTGTTCATTGTTTACCGTAGAGTCACCGGTGCGCGCGTAACGCAAAAATCGTCACACATTCGCCAGTTTACCCACCAAGTCAAGCGTGCCTAGAAGTTTCACTATGACTATATCAATAATCTCACCGGCACAGGTACAGCGTGCGGTCGGGCGCGGGTCGCGCGGAGCGGCCGGCCAGTGTGCGCGCGGCCTCGTGCGCGCCGCGTGACGCCTCCGCGTAGAACTGCGAGCGCCCCGTGCCGTACCGCGGCTGAGGCGGCGCCGTGCCGCACTCTTTGCGGTTCTTTTCCGCCGTGTAACTACAAAAAGGAAACATTTTATTTCATAAAAATACACTTTCCACAAAAACGGCGAGCCTATTATCGACCGACCGGCTTATTCACTAACTTTTTTGACATTCGCAGTGCGATTAACTTAACTTAAGAGAAAATTGCATATCCAAGTATCTTAATGGCATTGTATTGCCTCTGTCCGCCCGCTTAGCGGTCAGACGTGCAATTTTGCTCAAGACTGCCTCCGCGATAGAGAGGCGTAAATAGTCGCCCGTCATATTCGCACAGCGATAAAACTAGGTCGTTTCTGGTTTCTAGCTCTACTCGCTTGTCGTTCATCATCGGCGGTGGTATAAGTGCCTAAAGGATATAAAACACCAAGGAAAAAAATATCATAACGAAAAATCGGGCTTTACACCAGCTCAAAACTTGATTAGTTAATTTATATCAAAGAAGAATGTTTATACAAAAAAAAATTAACATTAAAATAAATATGTGGTCAACTTATTTTGTCCAAATATTTTTATTACATTTTTTTGTATGCTTATAAATATATTTTTCGTTGCTTCTAGCATTTTTTAATAAATAATGCTACTATAAATCTGTAATTGTATCGGCAATGGGAAAGGCCATGGTACAAAGCCAAACAGCTACGACAATGTTGACATTTGCGGTTGCGTTCAGGAATGAGCTAAGGGCGACATCTACCTAATGTCGTTCCATTTTACGCAAAAATTACTACTAACTTCAACTATCTTTATTATGGATTACTATCAACCTTTTTTTTGTAGAATTTATAAAAATGAAACCTTTAGATATCAAATCACACGAAATAAAAGTATTTTTATATACTTTATCGTTGGCTAAAATTATCGAGTACAATAACCGGAAATAACGTACAATACTTTATCATAAAGTAAGGGTTCCAACCCAAAGGTCAACCCGCCGCTCCAGATCTCTTCGTGTCCGTAATCTGCCCCCACTTAACATTATTTGGGACAGAAGAGTTATTTGTCTGCCTTATTATTAATAATATCTAATATATAAAATTCTCGTGTCACGGTGTGCGTAATTGAACTACTCCGAAACGGCTCGACCAATTTTTCCGTGATATTTTATATGCATATTCAGTAGTTTTGAGAATCGGACATGTATTTTTCATCCCCCTAAATGTTAAGGGTGATACACCCGTAAAGCTGTTTTTTTTTACTTATGGTACATCATACAAAAGTACATACAACCCTAAATTTTTCACGCTTCTACCACCGACCCCTATTTTTTTATGGCGCTACGAAGTTTGCTGGGACAGCAGCAGTTATATATAAAAAGATGGCTTACCCCATCCAAGCTTCGTTCAGGTAATTCTTGACCATCTCCTCTTGGACGGGCGCTCTCGCCGCAAGCACTCTACAGCAGAGCACAGAACAAGTGGACTGTCTTCTGGGCACTTCTTCTTCTGGATTACTCTGACTACCACTACCTTTCCCCGTCAACTTCGCCATGGAACCAAAACTCTTTAGTTTGGAACTCATGGATCTCCCGATACTTCCGAATTGTTTAGCAACAGAATTCATTTGCTTGGTACTCTTTGTTGATAGGGCATCTAAAGATCTTCTTAATTCTTCAGGCGGATGGCTTTGGGTTAGACATTCGACGTTCTCTAAGTCTAAGTAGGCTGCCAACATGGCGGAACGCTGGTACTCGTCAGGAAGTAAGTTGTTTATGGTCTTCTGATCGGGCTCCACGTCCCAGCGGTAGTCTTCGCCGGGGTCGACGTTGAATCTAAAAAAGAGTTTTATCATCAATCGACATCGACATCATCAGCCTATTAATGTCCCCACTGCTGGGACACAGGCCTTCCCTATGGATGGAATAGGGAGATTGGGCCGTGACCCACCACGCGGGCTCAGTGCGGATTGGCGGGTGCTAACGACTACAGATGCAGCCGGGACCAACGGCTTAACGTGCCTTCCGAAGCACGAAGAAACTCGAGATAGAGGATTTTTGGTCACCCATCCAATGACCGACCACTGCGAAAGTTGCTTAACTCCAACGATCGCAGCCGAGCGCGCTAACCACCTGCGTCATCGAGCTCCTCAAAAAATAAAGAGTTTTATACTTAATCATATTTTTATTTTAAGCATTCAAGTGCTAAATGTTGAAATGTAAAGAAATAAAATTGTGGAAAAAAAAAACACGCTGTCCAGGTAGCTGATGGGACTTGAACCCATAGTCTCTGCTATCCGGGCGGACGAACAATTGTACTACCACGACTTTAATGGTCGTGTGTCGAATTTCTAAGTCTGCTAAATGTTAATACTTAATTACGTATGACATTGTGGGTTAGCCACAATGCGAAGAGATGGATGTCTAAGAAATACTCGAAGAGTTTTATACAGAAACATAGTATACAATTTTCAATCAGTGTCGCCGTGAAATAAATACCCTGTATATTATTTACTGTTTTGTTTGAATAAAATAAATTATGATTTATTCATTTAGTTATAGATTTAAAATTTCCACAGCCATCTTAATTTTGTGTAACTGCGTTGGTATGGTGAAATGCAAAACAGTCCGACAGAACACAGTTATGAAATATAAGTCGGCTCATAATGAGGGCGAATCTGCGCAAAACTAAAACATAAACACATTAATAATATCTAAATTAGTTTAGTAGTTCATTAAGTATGAACTTATGGTAACATGTGCCATATCATATCTATATAAATACATACATAATAATAAATATTTACATATATATGCATATAAATCTTTATATACATATGAACCAGCTTTGAAATTAGAGTCATTACATACCTGACAGGCAGTGGCGCCCCGGTGCGGTCTTGCAAGGGAACTCTCGCCCCGTCAGTAGGTAGTGGTTCACACGGGACCAGCGCGGAAAAGTGGCCGGCGTCGTAAGCTAACAAAATGGGCGTTTTGCTGCAAGTCTCTGGTTCTAGTTCCAGTGGTAAGTAGATGCCACCGAACGGAATGGGGGCTATGGGATCGCCGCGGAAGTCCTGTGAAAGAATTGGTTTTCTTTAATTTTATTTCCTTTTGTACGACGAAGAAGCCTTCTTTGGTATCATAACATTTTTAATATAATGTAGACAGCTTTTGAAAAAGTCATAAACATTTAGAGTGGTCTGCTTTCAGGACCGCTGTTTCTGCTTTCTATAATTACTTTGTTCAAATGACATGTGTAAAAACCTGAGGAGGTTTAAATTCGGCTCGAGGGACTGTTAGTGTTCACCCTGAGCAGTGGCTCGAGGCCAGCGCTGTACAGCGCGGAAGCGAGGGGGAGGAGGTTACATGTTTATAGTGTGATTCTAACTTTACGTTGTAAGTGAGCAGTGAGTAGAACAAGGTGCGGTTATAAGTTGAGTGATTTCCTGCGCGCATACATATCACCCTTGATTTCGTTTACCGCACCGTCACTTGCACTAATGTAACAGCCTCCATAGAGATTGATTTGTACTATACGGCTGAACTCATAGTGCGATTTTCTCGGCAGCTCCGCAACCGCAACTCGTGCAGAATGTGAAATTGTAGGTAAACCACAAAAACAAAACTCACGATGCGATTTGCACCAGCAGATTTGCGGGCGCGCGTGGAGCGCGATTCGCAGACGCCGCGGGTTTCACCCGTTCTCGCACTGGCGACAGCTAAGGGACCGCTGAAAACTGCGGTCTCGTGAGTTTAGTAATAAAATAGCTCGGCGCGGCTGAGATTGCTCCGTGAGTTCTTCACCTACCTGTGCGGTCCGCGAACACTATGACGGGGCGGCGCATGACCAGCGCCAGCGCCTGCACGCGCAGCTGCTGCAGGGCGGCGCAGTGACGTCACGCGGTGTGCTGTCGACACTCACCCGCAGCGCGCGGTCCGCGAACACTATGACGGGGCGGCGCATGACCAGCGCCAGCGCCTGCACGTGCAGCTGCTGCAGGGCGGCGCAGTGACGTCACGCGGTGTGCTGTCGACACTCACCCGCAGCGCGCGGTCCGCGAACACTATGACGGGGCGGCGCATGACCAGCGCCAGCGCCTGCACGTGCAGCAGCTGCAGGGCAGCGCAGTGACGTCACGCAGTGTGCTGTCGACACTCACCCGCAACGCGCGGTCCGCGAACACTATGACGGGGCGGCGCATGACCAGCGCCAGCGCCTGCACGTGCAGCTGCTCCAGACCGGCGTAGTGTGGCGCAGCAGTGGCGGGGGGCGCGGGGGCGGCGGGCCGGGGCTCGGCGCTGGCGGCACGGACGGCGTCGGCCCATTCCCGCGCCCATTCTGCCTCGGAGGGCGTCAGACCCGCTGAGCGCAGGCTAAGGCTTTCGGACCACCGCCATCGGCGCTTTATCGCACCTGAACAAAAGGTGGATTTGTTGAGTTTGGCAGCTCGTGAAACAGGTTTTACTTTGCAGGGATGCCAGCTTCCTCACATTGATAATCCGATTCCCTTTGATCACGGTGTAATTTGTCTGGCCTGGCCTACCCCGTATCAGTGCATTCGCCCAGATAGCCAAGGGTGTCGGTGCGAATCAAATTTTCCTTAATCTACATATTTTTGACATTTAGATTGCCAATTTTAGACCTGAGTCTATCAACAGTTCACTATTACACCAGACTTATAAGAACTTACAATTTTTACAATCATGTATTGAAATTTATAACAGCACTCACTTATGAGGGAATCTCTGCCTTTCCCTGATACAAAGTCTGTACTTCAGTATCGTGGGAGCCGTACGCAGCCAACGACCCACCGTGAGGCAAACAGTTGCCGTTGCCAGATGTCGTCAGTATCAGCAGTCTCAGAGCCCCGATACAGAACAAATACGTTTGAAATATATAAAGGTACTCACTTGTGAGAGCATCTCCGCCTTCCCCTGATAACAGAGCCTGCACTTTAGTTCTGAGCGCAAGCAATCTATCGTGGAAGCCGTACGCAGCCAAAGATGCGGCATGAGGTAAGCAATTGCCGTCGCCAGAGGTCGCCAATGGCAGCAATCTCGGAGCCCCAGGAATGCCCCCATTACGCCACCAGTTCAATATACCGGCGGACTCTAGGGTCACCAGAGTCGCCGTCTCCAGTAGATCTTTTTCGATGAATGTTCTGGAAAAACATTTCAATATAGTTAGCATTCGAATTCAGTTACAAATTCCCCTAATCAGTTTGAGCCGTTATAACACGTGTGAAAGTCGAAAGCTACGCCTTTGGGTTTCGGAGATCATTCGATGTGCTATGACTACGCCACCCTCTTAATATAAATAATATTAAGTAGTAAATATAAGGGTTGTTCCTTAATTAAGATATCCCAACTACCAGCACAGAAACCCGTTAAATGAATTCTGTAAATATACCATTTAATTTATACTGAACAAAAAAAGGTCTGGAAATAAAGAATTATTATATTATTTTTTATTATAAATATTGTATAACATTTGTCAAACATGTAATTAATCATTTCACGGTAGAGTTCAATCAACTCCTCATTTAATATACTTACATAAAATACTTAGTACAGAATGTGCTAACATTTTTATACGTGTCGGTCACGAAAACAATGAATTCATAAACAAATACATTGACCCCTATTGAAATGACACAGTACATTCGAGAATCGAGATTATGTTTGTGGATAAAATTAAAAAATGACAGCGTCTTTAATATAAAGCTTTCATCGTCGTTCACATTTTATGTTGCTCATACTATACCAAATGCCATTACCGACTAAATGAATTTATTAGGTACTTATTCGTACAAATATTTTACTTTACACAGCTACTGAAAAATTGAGTTAAGGAAAATATTAATGTAAACTTTAGAGATATAAAGTAACTAACTAAATATTTTCATTTGCAGCAGTGAAATGTAGTTGTTAGGGTTCCGTGTCCTAAAGACGCTATCGAACGAAATCTATTAAACGTATTTTAAGCAGGTATTTGCAATATTCATTAATAATATTATAGTGTATTACAACTGTGATTATTTATAAAAGAAATCTTAAGTTTTCACAATCTTTTAGTAAAACACTTTTTGATGCGCGGAAATGGGTATGAACGTTCAAAAAGTGTTTTATTAAATAAATAAATAAAATATCGATGGAGATTCATTTACTTGTATCTGTGTTAAAAACATATATAATATCTCATATTAATTAAGTCTTATAATAAATGTACAGTCCCAGCCCAACAACATCCTTTTTACTTATCCATAACATAACGAATTATGTTATACTTATTAAAATTACGAAACCAAAAAAGACCAACTCGCACTTGCCTAGTTTTTAATTCACTTGTCGCGGCATCATGTTTATTTGTATACCTACGTGTTTTTTTTCCTCGCCGGCAACGGCAACACGTAAGGTCGCGACTCGGTAAACAACAACAGCGAGTTCAACGGCTGTCTCGACTTGACGGGCGGGCGGGTTGCGTGCGAACCGCACATGAACCGCTGGCGTGTAGCCAATAAGGGTGCGATACGTTTAGCCGGGTACTGGCGAATTGGCTCAGGTGTTACGGAACGTAATATAGAAAATATTCTGTTTCATTTACAGCATTTAATACGCAGTGATTTAAGGAAAAACTACCTATATGTAACGGCTTTGATTAAATAGTATGTAACTATCTAGACTAGAAGTATTATGAGCGTTCAGTTTATTGTAGTTTAAGGTATATTTTAGGTTTATTATTCTGATATTTGCATATATGTATCGTACTTTTTATGATTAACAGTTTGTTTCACCAATACACGAAAATTAAAAAAAAAAACATATCATCATCGGCCTATTGAGTTCCTTACTGTTGGGACACAGACCACCCATACGACCCACCAAGCGGGCCATGGCTGCAGATGCAGCAAGGACCAACAGCTTAAAGTGCCTTTCGAAGCACGGAAGTACTGGAGATATACAATTTCGATCAGCCATAGAATTTCGTTTCCGTTCCCAAAATCAGCTGTGCTTAATCTCTCTCTTAAAATCAATTATACCTGAAGTCCGGTGGGTAGACTGAGATGTCGGGCAGCAACAGTATGTGTTCGGAGTTGAGTGTGCTATGTTCGGGCTCCGTATTACTTCTTAGGGCCCAAACTAGGCCTTCGTTGTCTGTAGCGCGGGAGATGCCCCGTGACAGCTTTCGACCTGCGAAACATCAACAAACTTACAAGTTACTGTGGCCACTATCCCATCACGAACAAAGAAATAATATTATATGTATTTCTGCATAAAATATACTACAGTAGGACGCCGATTATCCGAATTAATTAGGACCGGGGTCGATTCGGATAATCGAAAATACGGATAATCGGACATAGACAAGTAATAAAGAAAAACGAACTGCCACACATAGAATAAACTTTATTACGTTTAACAAACACAGTTCTACAATACTAGATACAATAATAGAGGTACATAGTAGCAAAACAAAATTAAGAACAGTAAAACATGTAGTGTCTTGCCTCTAGCTTTCAACCATTAACAGTTGATATAAATATATATAGGTATTTAACATACTCGCTGGACTTTAGCGAGTTCCAACTTATTAGAACAAAACAAAAATGACTTGGTTTTAATTTTTTATATTACGCTTAGGACCGATTCGGATAATTGGCGATTCGGTTAATCGGCGTTCGGATAATCGGCGTTCTACTGTATTATTATATGTATCCATTGCCCTAGTATTCCATAGACTATTTATATATGCAGGTGGCTCATTTCTTCGCCCCCATCCTTTATAAGACGCGTGAGGAAACAATTTGCAGACTGGCAAGGTAAGGGTGGCGTATTAATATCGTCCCTGACACCACAGTCACTTAACATCAAGTGGAGTGGAGTCATTTGTGGGACCTATTTATAAAAAATGTGTTCATCATCATCATATTAAGCGTACGATGCCCAATGCTGAGCATAGGCCCTCCCTCAAGGATTTGTACTTAGATCGGTCTGTCCTGCGTGCGCTTCATAAAGTGTTGCACCAGCTATCTTCGCGTCTGGACTCTACCGGTATACGTATGCTACCACAGGGGTGGATGATGTCACTGCTTGGATCCAACTTGTAATGTTTTCTGTTCTGACTATGAAAATGACAGTTCCGCCAACGCCTACTATGAAAACAAATTTTATCAAGTCATATGCAAAAATAGCTATTTATGTATTTGCTGCTGCTGAAGGCTCTTATTACAAAAGGGCGAAAAAAAGTTTTTTTTATTTATTAAAATGTTGATAAAGATTAAGTATGCATATGCATAATTATTATTGTACTTATCTCACTATATTTATAAAAAACTTAAATATGAAAACGGAAAATATTTAAGCCATATATGGACAAAGTGTTAGCTAATATAAACTTACACACTTTTTACGTCCACACGCACGGAAGGTAACATGCTAAGATTAGCTATATTAGAAATACAAAGCATGTTTTTTTTATATTTTCAGAATGTCAAAATTTGCATAAATATATTCGAGTTGGAAGGCCTAACATCAATCAAAAGCTAGCGAAAATTTCAATGCGACTAACTAGCATTGCGTCGGAGCCTCGGAGGCTTGTAATTATGCCGCAGCTGACGCACAATGGTCCAATAATAATTAGGACTAAACGCGGAAAGAGCCCTGAAAAACTAAAAAAATGTCGCAGCTGGTATTTTGGTATAACAGTATCATTCTTTTCTTATATTCTATTAAATATTGAGATAATGAAACCGTTTTCCCCATATAGATGACAAGTTGATGCAACGGCAGCAACACTGACTACTGCTCCAAAACATCTGGGTTTGAATCCTGGTAGGCATTTATTTCTGTATAATATGGTGTTATATCAGTTCCCTATGACATTCTGTCTATAGAGAAAACATGGTGATAATAGGCTAGGCTATATTCCGGTACCAGCGTGATTCCTGCTTAAAGGTGCGTAGTACTCTATGGTGGCTTCTGCGTAAATGGGTCGAGGTCAGTGATTCTTTCTGTTGGGAAGGCCTGAATCCTATCCCAGCAGTAGACATAGGTTGCTCATGATAACGAAAGAACATGAAAAACTTACATTCAGGCGCTGGTGTTAGAACCAGGTTGGAGGGTGCGGAATACTGCATGGCCAAGTCCAGGGTACTGCCCGCACGGTCGGGGGAGATGACGTCACCGCCCGCCCGCGGCCGCAGTGATGCGCCGTGCACCCGGTCTACAGAAGGACACAACCAAGCTATTCATTCAACAGTTTTTCATTACAAACCAAATTGCGGCGCCCACCCACGCTGTCAAACACTAAAAATATAACTGTGTCATATTTATAAATGAGAACTTTTGCACATTAAATTTATTATTATTAGTCCAGTTAAATTATCTGTCAGTTTTTGTCAATTTCAGGTCGCAATATATGAAATACTGGATTAAAATTTTGAAAGGCTTTTATTTCGGAAACTATTGGGTCTAGATTATAATATCTTATAAACCTTATTTTTTTCAATTTATAGGATCAATATTTCTATGGTGTAGTCAATGTAATGCGGTTACTGTTGGTCGTTTTAACCGGTGCCACTTTTATGTTTGCAGCGCTCCTATATTTTTTTATTTGATCTGAGCCTAAGTCTATAGTACTAGAAAGGACGATGTAAGAATTAATACCTTTGGATAGGATACTGAATGTTACGTGCGTCCACAAGCGATGAGCCTTGCACTCCGTCTACACAATGACACAACCAAACCAAATTAATACGCCCACCTACACTACCAACCTAATGACAAAAGCAACATTTATAACCGTGTTATATTTATAAAAAGAGCGTCAGACTATTGCACATTTCTGCTTTGGTAGTGTATTAATATAATGTTAAATTTTGGGGTAAACAAGTGAGTCCATTTGTTGCATACAAATGGAAATAAATTCAATATCGTTTATTCAGTGTAGGCTATTACAAGCACTTGTGAATGTCGAAAAGCTAAGTCATCGGTTCGCAAATCTATGGCGGGAGACCTTGTACTGAGAAAAACCGGCAAGAAACTCAGCAAGGGCTGTTTTTTTCTCCCTGTATTATATTACAGAGTCGTCAAATTGAAAAATTACTTCAATATGAGATAACTCATGAAGTCACCTTCCATTATCAATGTGAATGATATAAAAATTATGACTATACAATAAAAAAAAAGTGGGTGCGTGTACTTATGTAGGCGCGTGAGAAGTTATACTTCTTTGGCATCGTTTAAAATTAGTTTTTAATTGCATGCAAATAATTAATTACAATAAATTAATAAAAAGTCTGGAAAAGGACGAAGTCAATAAAGTTAAGTTTTAATTTGAAAAAATAAATAAATAATCAAAATATTCAATTAAAATCGCTACTGAATATAATTTATTAGAACATATGTGATTTGCACTTGTATGAAACTCAAACACGTATTCCGAATATACAAACTAGAAACATGTGGATAAATATTATAAATATGAATACCTATAACTGTTACTTTATTACAAAAAATAAAGATGTGGTTTTTGGTTCTACTACACCAATGGTCAAGAGATGACGCTGTAGTCTCCTGAATCGCGCTTTGGTTCGTTGTTCCAGATTAATAAATACGTTTGATAGGCCTTCACAATGCAGTCGTTAGCACCCACTAAATAGAGATTCTATTTCTATTTTGTTGGTAGATTTTCTTAATGTGCGGTAGACCAACTTCATGCTGTTAAAATTTTGTGTTACAGTGATGCGCGCGCATCTTAAAATTTCACTCTCATCATTTTTTCATAACGCGCCTAAAGAAGTATAACTTCAAAAATATAGGTAATAAAACTGATTTAACAAGGTTTAGGAAAGCCGTGTCCTACTGTTTAGGCATAAAAATTTACATTTAAAGTTAAATACAACGAATTATAGTACCCAATGTAGCAAGAGCAGACACATCTTCGCTGGAAGCACCCGCTACCGCATAATAGATGGATGAATAGGATGTAAAACGCGGCTTCGCCTAGGAAGCTCGCATAAAGCACAGGAATCGTGCGAATGGCACGAGAAAAGACTACGTTAGGAAGGAATATTTTCGGATAGGATATTGAATGTTACGTAAGTTCAGTATCCTATCCAAAAGCGATGCACCGCGCTATGCACTCGGTCTACACAATGATGACACAACCAAAGCAAAACCCACATACAACCACCCACGCGACCATATAAATTAATAAACACTGCAAATATAACTGTGTTATATTTATCAAAGAGCGTCAGAACTAATAGCACGTTTCTTGTTATAATATCTACTAAGTGTTATATAATGTAAATATTTGTGGCAATGAGTGCTGCGGTTGGAAAAGGAAAGTTTTCCTGTCTAAAAATGGAACTAGATGAGGATGAATGGAATGGAAAATGCAGCCTTGAAGTACAAATTTCGTAGGGAACTTAGGAATCGCACAAATGGCACTAGAAAGGACGATGCTAGGTAGGAATAATACTTTTGGATAGGATACCTACTCAATGAGTGTATTCGGCGGGTGCTCAATATCAAGCGATCAAGTCCGACTGAAGATTCAAAAACGAAATATCGAGTTCTCCTCCTCAACAGGGTGATATTTAAATAATTGAGGGCTGTAGCTCGCATTTATATTGCTTGCTACCATATCCTTAATATTTTACTTCGTAAAACCTTTGGGGATATTGAAAAGATACATACATATTTAAATGATCATCAAAAAATACAATTGGTGGCTTAACCTAACTTTTAAGTTACTGATTGTAGTTTTTAGGTGACCATTGGTGTCGATTCTGGCGTGATTATCTAAACTTAAAACTAAATTTAATCTGAGTCTCTCATTTTCATTCTGTATAGAGAATAACAAGGATACACTGTTGTCAAGTTTAGGTTTAGGTTTAGAAAATCATGCCAGAATCGACACCATTTACTATTTTTTTTGAGGATAATTTAATAATTCTCCTATTGAAAATAACGGGGGAGACACATTTTTTGGACAGAGACCCGTGGTCCAGGTAGTTTTTAAAATTAGATGCGTATCAATAAGTCACTTCATTTAAATTAATGATAGTCTCCCCCGTTATTTTCAATAGGAGAATTGACACTTTAATTGGATAAAGACCTTTTAATTATCAATGTGTCGACATTGACCTTATTAATTAATCTAAACCGACTGACAACAGGACAGTAGTAAACGGGACGTTTAAAAATACGACGTATATCTTTTATTTTATATTTTTATTCACATAAAAAACGATGAAATAAACAATCATTACGAATCAAATAAATCTTTTACGCAGGTAACTGACGAAAACGGAAGCAAATTCAACTTAAACTTTCGATAATCGCAAAAACCTAGCAGCCTATAATAATAGGCTGAATTATGATAAGGCAAACACTATTTTCACGATACAAAACATTTCTGAATACAATAACGTCCACGAGTAGCCGCAGCTGAATTCTAGGTGTATAGCCAACCTTGACTCGGCCTAGCGCGTCCCACGTCGAGGTCAAAGGTTCGAATCTCGACCCACTACTCACAGACAGTGGGGCCTGATCGATACAACGGCTAAAACCAAAACGAATTGTGTTTGGGTCCCATTTGTTTGACTATGACGGGTAGGAAGGAAGGTTAAGTAACATCCGACGTGAAAGAATAGATGTTTTCCAACTATTCATCAAAGATCGATGAATGTACATCACAAATATTATTTGACGGTGAAAAAATATATCTGTAATCAGTACGCAGTTTCATTGTTTTATTTAAACAAAGAAGATGTGGATTTATTTATACTTTTAACCATAATTTAAATCGGTTTTTACTACAAGAACAAAGAAAGTTGCAAGTGTGTCAAGTATCTACACACATCAAAAGTGTCTAGGGATCAAGCATTTTTATGCGGATTTCTTGAGATTGAGATGTGGCTTTGTAATAAATTTATGATTTTATAAATTTATATGGATCCTTTTTGGTGCATTTCATAATTTAATCAGGAACTGTGAATCAAATTCGAGTAAAAGATGAAAATCAGCTGTCAATATTTTCCCTATAAAAACATACAACGCATTGAAGACATTATTAGTGCTACTGTTTCTCTACTACTGATTAAAACCAACGTTATTATGGAGCGGCGACGTCATTTAAGCAGGGAAGAAATGCTCAGAGCCGTGGGAATGATAGAAGCTGGTTCCCGGCAACGTACTGTGGCTTTAGCTCTGAATACAAGTCAGAGTGTTATCAGTCGACTTTGGACACGATACCGAAGCACTGGTACCGTGGCTGAGCGCCATGGAGGACGGTATCGCTGCACCACACGGAGACAAGACCGATACATTCAAATCTTAACTCGAAGAGCTCCAACAATAACCGCCATGATGTTAGCCGTGAGGCTTCATCACTCTTCAGGGAACTTAATTAGCGACCAAACAGTCAGAAACCGCTTGCATGAAGTGAACCTTCATTCCCGAAGACCGCTACGGGTACCACCTATAGCAATGCACAATCGTAGGATTCGATATCAATGGGCTCTTGAACACAGAAATTGGGCAGAAGAACAATGGCGTTTCGTGTGCTTTTCTGATGAGTCTCGTTTTGGTATGAGACCGGATACAAGACGTATACGACACTGGAGAACCCCTGGACGCCAACAGCGATTAAAATCCTGCCAGGAAGTCCATCCTTATAGTGGTGGAACCATCATGGTATGGGCGGGTATTTGGATCGGCGGAAGAACTGAGTTGATTTGGATCAGAGGCAACCTCAACGCTCAAATTTATGCTGAGACGATTGTATCAGACGTCATCGTTCCTCTACAAGTGCAAATCGGTCCCTTATTTCAGTTAATGCATGATAATGCACGACCGCACACCGCAAGAGTTGTAAGACAGACTCTCGCCGCAGCTAACATCAATGTCCTGCCCTGGCCTGCTCAGTCGCCAGACTTGAACCCGATTGAGCATGCATGGGATATGCTACAGAGAAGAGCTCTGCCGAATATGGAGGGTATCCAGTCGCAAGAAGACCTTTTTTTGTTGTTGCAACGAACATGGGCGGCCATTCCACAGCGTGATTTGGATGAACTCATTTTGAGTATGCCAAACCGATGTTCTTGTGTTGTTAGTGTTCGCGGTAGAAATACGGATTATTAATTGTTTAAGTTACCCAATAAAATTTTAGAGAAAACTGTTATTTCAGTCTTTTTTTCGAACTTTTGTGTTAGT